CACAAAATGATAGGGGAAAGACAGTTCATCCGTTATCATATTCAACCAGAGTAAAAATGTACTGATCCAGCTGTGGGCCTCCTCCCAGAGCCCCTTGGCTCTGCCCCAAGATTGCAGCAGGAGCTGCCCTGCAGATCTGAGGCCTTTCTTTGCCACATCTGCAACGCTTGATGGAGGGGAATCCACTGCATTGTTTAAAGGCAAGAGGAAAAAAGCTTCTTGTTGGAAATGGATGTAGCAGAGTGAGGAAGGTGACAAGGGCACGGCAGCCTGGGAATGAGCTGTTTCCACGGGCTTCGGGTCTGCTCCCTTTGTTTTGGGGTGAGAACTATTCAAGCGGCCGGCTCACATCCAGCTCTGCAGTGATGTCACATCCACATTGCTCAGCAGAGGAGATGCTTGGAGAATTACATCAGACAGCATTTGTTTATAGGGCTTTATCTTAGACACTTGCTTCTCCATCTTCCTGAAAAACATTCATGTAAATATTTATATTTTCAGGAACAGGATCATACTTCTGGACACTGATCAGCCCAGCCACTCCACTGCATGTCTGCCAGAGCTCCTCTGCGTGCCTGCTGGGGACTCTGGCTGAGATGAGCACATGTGAGGAGTGCTGCAGGCCCACGCAGCTATCTGCATTTCTGGACCACTCTGGTCTCCACTAGTACAGATTGTTACAAGTGCAGCATGCAGGCTCTTCTTTATTGACAGAATAAATGCACAGATAATGGTGGCTACTACACTGAAAGACAGGTTTTCATTTTGTAGCTGAGAATTTGCTCTATCAAACAGTGTTATTGTGTGTTTTGTATCTGTTGTAGCTTCCACTGAAAAAAATAGAAGGCATTGATTTTGGAGTGACCCAAACAACTTTGGGACTTCAGCTTTGCCATGGGAACGATGCCAGCCAGACCTTGGGAAGTTTGCCCAGCTGTTTCATTTCTTATTCTGATGCTGGGTTGTGAAGGTAACCAAAAACTGTTTTCTGAAAAGTGTATTGAGAAAGGGGAAATGGATCTGCTTAAAGGGGCAGCAGCCCCATGACAGCTCTGCCACTCTCACGGCTGCTCAGTGCCCTGCATGCCCCTGGGTCAGCACTCAGTGCTGCTGCCAGCACAAGAGCATGGGATCATCCAAACCAGAACTGTGCAGGGCAAGAAGCCGATTCTGGTGGAATGCAAATCTGGAAGGGGAAATGCTGGCTGGGAAAGGGAACCAAAAATCCACTAAAAAATCCCAGAAGTCTTGGCATTTCCCACAACATCAGAGCGCTGTGTCTGAGTCCCCAGCATAAATCTCTAGGCCTTGCTTTCTGCCTCTGCTTCTAACAGAAAATTTCTGAGAGTTCTTACTTCCACCTCAGTGCGTGACAGCAGGAAAATTCTGAAGCTGGCATTTTCTGGGAAGGAAAGCCCTGAGCTGCACTTCTCTCTGTAGTGCGCTTGATTGGATCGCTGCACTGCTTAAATGTGCTGCTTTCATTCAGCAACCTGAACCAGCTCAGTTGTGTTCCAGCTGGTAAAGTGCTGCCAAGTTGTTCTCTCTCCTCAGAATTCCCTTTTGCTCAAACTTTGCTTGTTTTGCACCCAGGTCACTCGGGATGGTGTGAATCACGTGTAATCCATTCATACCAACCAGCTCCCCCAGCTCCTGTGCCCCACGGCTCGTTCATTGCCTTCATTCCCTGGGCAGCTGCCAGCTGTGCTGTGCTGAGGGCAATGCTTACTGGAAACCCATGGAAAGGAGTTTTGCAAACAGGTGCTGGAAAGGGCTCAAGGAAAATTTTGATTGCAACATTTGGGCTTGCAGTGGGGAGAAGCATGAAGAGATAGGGTATTTCTAAGCAACCTCATGCTGAAGGCTGTGCAGAAACACTGAGCTCTGCAGTGGCTGTGCAAGGTCAGCTGCAAAGGGGTGGCACTGGGATGGGCAGTGCCCACAGAGCGGCACAGAGCCACCTCTTGGGCATGAGCAGTGACCACCATAGAAATGCTGCCCCTGCTGCATTCCTGGAGCACAGCCCAGAGTTTTGCAGCCCAAAGGAGCATGACAGCTGCCTGGCACCCGTGGGGCGTTTTGGCAATCTTTGCCCTGAAGGCTGCCAGCTCCAAAGCAGGAGGGCAGCTGCTGCATTTGCCTTTTCCCCCCATTTCCAAAGGTTGCAATGCAGCACGAGCTGAGCATTACTGCGCGGCACAGCCAAATGTCACAGCAGCTTGGGAGGACAAACCTTTCTCCCTTTCCATTACTTCTCTTTGCACTCTTGTGATGACCATCCTGCATCTTTTTTTGCCTCCTTCTCCTTGCTTAATGACAAAACCTAGCCCATGCATCCCTTTTGCTCTCCAGACAGGATGGTCCTGCAAGAATGCTAATGTACCACCTGCTAATGTGTTTTTCTGGGGTGAGAAATAGATTTTACAATTCAGGGCGTACCAAACCAAGCAATCCAAGAGACAGAGGCTGAGTGGAAATGGCTGCAGTGCTGGGAGGGACAGGCTCCTCATATGTTTAAGTTGTAAAGTCCATTTCTTACCCCATAAAAACACCCTTTAAAAAAAATATATTATATTTTATTATATATGTATATTTACATACAAGTTCCTAGTTCTCATTTGAAAGATAAACCGGTCACTTTCTGAGCTCTGAAAGTGATCCCTCCTCTGAGACCTCTGTTGACTCCAAGTTACAGTAATACTGGATAGCTTGGATGTTAGTGCCAAGCTGCAAATGAGGTTTGCTTTGTTGGGCCAGCTCTCAAACAAAAATGACTGTTTCAGGCTCAAAATTGTGTCTGTGGTCTTGTAAAAAAGCAGAGCTCTCCTTGTTCACCAGTTTTCTATTTCGTTGCCATTAAGGGAATGATCTCATCCTGCCCTTTCTTTGTCCTCTGGTTGTTTTCCTCCCTGATAAAATGTTCAGCAGGCTGTCAGAGCGTGGCTCGGATTTGGAGATACTATTCTAACACTCCCAAATCCCCAGTTGATCACCAGCAGTTTCTTTACTCACTCACAACCACTTTCCAGCCCTGCTGCATCTCCTTGCAAAACCCAGCTCACATTTAACCACTGTCCCAGCCACTGATTCCCCAGCCTGGCTTTGCTCTGATAGCAGCCAAACGCAAACCAGCTCTGTTTACCCATGCCCAGGCTGCAATCAAACACCCCACCTGTGTCCCAATTCCTGCAGTCATTTCCCCAGCCCTTTTGCTTCCAGCAAGTCTGTGATGTGGAAATTAACCTTACCCTGTGGGGTAAACCTTTAATGAACAGTGCTGCTGCCTGCCAGGCAGGGATTTCCAGCTGGTGGCGATGCTGGTGTGAAATTCTCTCCTTGACATCCTGCTACACTGTGGTCCTAACACCAGAGCCATCAGCTGCACTTCCAAGAAATGAATGCAACCAGCAGAAATTCGGCTGGAAAATGAAGTTCAGGCTGCTTCATTTGCAGAAGGTTCAGGAAAGCTGCCTGTGTTGTGCCTCTGTAAATGGGAATATTAGCAGGTCTCAGAGCCAGCCATGGAGAATAGGTGGCTGCGTGGAACTTGCAGTGTATCAGGATGCTCTGTGGGCCTTATGGGCAGAGCTGTCTGGCCAGGGCTGGGTTGGATTTAGCCCCGAGCTCTAAAAGAAACAGATGTATGGCCAAAATGCGCGCGCTGAGCAATCAAAGGTGTCCCCAGACCTACTGAAATGAGATGATATCTTATTTTTAACGAGAAGGACGCTCCCCTAAGAATTGAAGGGCACCGTGAACAAGCTCCAACATCCCCTGAGACCTTCAGCAAAGCCAAAAGTAGAGGCAGCACGTTTGTGAGCGCAAAGTAAATTGCACAAGGTGAGGTACCTGAGTCGAGACTTGTACAGTCATTAAGCCACACCCGAGTTTGTTTAAAACACATCAGCCCTGACTACCAAGACTCATCAGCACAAGAAAAAACAAAAATAACAACACATGGTTCTCTTTCTTACCATGTTGAACTTTAACTCCTTGTCGTCCTATAGGCGGTGGCTGTTTCCAGTGCTCCTGGGTAATGCCAAGAATCTCAGCATGGCGGTGTGGTGTGCAGGAGGCCCAGGAGGGACTGTCCTTGTCCCTCCGACTGTCACGGGTACGGTGGGGTGAGTCCCACAGGTAACAAAGCAGCCATCCACTGATCTCATGGCTGCTGTTTTGGAACAAGACTTCATATTTGTCTCCCTGGATACAAAGGGCTGAGCTGGGTCAGTGCCATGCGGCCCTGCCGGATGGCTTCTCTCTGCTGATGAGCAAAACACTGCTTTGCTCCTCAGGCCATCTGACATCCCTTGGGGCAGAATGCAGGTATTTCCGAAGCACCGGCCATGAAAACCCCTTTGCAGCCCTGAACAGGGCAGGCAATTGGCTCACCCCTCCTGGGCAGAGGAGTCAGCTATTTGCAGCACAAGCCCCTGACGCAGACAGCTGCCCTAGATAGGAGTTTCTTGGTGCAGGGCAAAGTAGACCACGGTGACATGATATGGGATAGAGGAATTGATCAGAGCAAATGCTGTGACTTTGACTCCAGTGATGGGAAGGGCAGCTTTTCCTTCCACACCACTCCTACCTTCCATATTCCCAACAGGTTGCTTCAAACTTCACACTTTTTGTGGGGTAGGAACAGAGCCCTAAGTGTCCTTTCCAACATAAACAATCTTACAACTTACAGGAACAGAACATGATTTGGAATTTCTCTGGATAAGAGGAAACAGCAGGTAGCTGGGGAGAAATCAAACACCTCCTAGGCAAGAACAAAGGGCTTGGCAAATGGTTGGTTTTGTACTGTGGCTCAGCCGCACAGAAGGAAGAGGGTATTTTAGTGAAATGCACGCAAACACACAGAAAAATCTGGTGCTGTGCTGCTACAGAAGCAGGGTTCAACATGCACATCAAATCACATCCCAGTTTTTCCCAGGAAGCTGATCATCTTCACTTGGTCAGAGATTTAAAGTCAGAGTTAAAAGCAGACAAACAGAGAATAAGTCTGAAATAACTTTACTGAAAAAATATTCCATAGAAGTCAGTGGCAAAGGCACCCAGGTGTGATACAGTAACACTGCAGGCAGGCTCCTTACACATCTCCCTGCACAACTGGAGGCTCATTCCCTTCAGAGCAGCCACTGTCTCCACGCATACAGGTTTCCAGTGCTTTGTGAAGCATCCTGCTGTATCAGTGAGCGTCATTACAGCACAGGGGGCAGAGTGCCTTTGTTTTAATTACTTTAGCTATAACTCTCATTTTTTTCCTAAGAGAGCTACAGAAGGCCTTGCAGGGCTGTTGGGAATGCTGCTGGTAACACAAGGCATCATTCCCATCCATCCCAGCTCATTCAAAACTCTGACTGAAAGCATGTAGCAAAACGCTTTGTCAATTAAAAAAGAACTTTCTTAAGAAATGCAGTATATAAAAAAAAATCAAAATATTTACCACAAACAATCAAAATGTGATGGCGCCATTTCCCCTTAATACACATTATTATTATTAAATGACTTTACATTAGAAATTCACACTACAGTACATGACATATTGCTTTTCTCTGAAGCACCTGCAGCAGAAGCCCCACTCAGTGCCTGGGCAGAGCTTCAAGGCAGACCAGCAGCTCCCATTTTGTTCTGCTGTCTCTGCAGCGGCTGTCAAGAACTTGGCCATGGCAGAGTTAGCAGAAAGCTGCCAGTGGCAAACCGGATGTTTGCAAAATCAGTGTCACCACTTCCCAGAAGAAGAAAAAACACTACAGAACTTTTGAATAAAAAGATACTATATATTACATGTTGCTGGCGTCATCAATGAGATGATACGTTTTTGGCTGTACTTCTATGCCAGTTTATTTGCACTTCTTCCAGTGAGTTTTCATCTAATAAGAACATATAGCTGACCCACAGGAGCAATCAAAACCACCATGGCTTGTTTTGTTTCATCACAAACACTGGAAGACTGACAGACACAGAGTTGTCAGCCTGCTGTCTGGAAGTAACTGACATCAATTCTTCCTCAATTCAGTTTTCAGAAACCTGGGAGGTGTTAACACAGAAGAGCGATTGCTACCTCACCCTCCACTTGTGCAAGAGGAAGGTTCAATGCCCCTACTGCCCTCATACACAGCTATGTAGAAAAGGAGCAGAATATCCTGGGAATAAAGTTGCTGCCATGAATGAAACTCACGCTGTTTGGTGATGTAACCTTTCCAAATAACTCAGCAAGAACTTAGCAACTCTGCATAATCCTGGAGAACCGCAAGAGTGGGCTTCTCATTTAAGGACGTACATATCAAATTCTCTGAAAATGGCAGCAACCCGTTCAGATGTTGTTAGCATAGGTGGCCTTTTTTGTTATGGAGGATTTTTGTTTGCTTTCCTTAAGAGAGAGCTGGCAGCAGCCAGGGCCCCACCCTGCACAAAGCGTACAAAGTTATCTCCAGCTAGAGGCCCCAGAGCATAAAGCCCTTTCTCCTGAGAACATTCATAAGTGAACAGGTCAACATCTATGGGATTCCTCTTGGGATTGACTGGTTGGTCACTGTCCATGGCCAAGTCAATTCCGTTATTTGGCAGAAAGGAAAGGTTGGGATTTGAACCGGTTAGAACAAGAGCCATGGAAATTTTATAAGCTTTCTGGCAGCCATTCTTGTCTTGAAGGATACACTTCTTGTCCTTGCCAAAAGATAGTACATTGTGCTCAGGTAGGCTAACATAGCACTCATAGGGCCCAGCGCAAGCAGCTGACTGTTCTTTCATCATCTGATGGACTTTGTGGTATTCCGGGTACATCATTTTGGGTAGCTGGTTAAAAATAAGACCTGGATCACTGACTCGTCTCCGAAAAACATGAATTACTGGAATACTGCAGTGGTGAGCAAAAAGGATCGCATCAGCGGCTGTCAAACCAGCACCCACAATCAAAACTGGATCTGATGTGATACCAATACTGCTGTTTTTCACTGCTTCCTCTAGGGCAGAGAGCTGGTGATGGACATAGTAAAGGTTCTCTCCTTTGACCCTGAGCCAAGTGGGACTATCATACGTTCCTGTAGCTAAGACTACATTCTCTGCATAGACAGTGAAGGGCTCCTTGTCACCTCTGACAGTTTTGACAAATCCATCCACCTGAAAGACCTCCATACTCCCCTCACTGAAGTTCCAGAGCAAGTCACTCTTCTGTGGATCTTCTTGTGCATGGTTGGAGATGCTCTTTGCACTCACTTTCCTCACAGAGGTTACAACAGTCCCACATCTAAAGTTCTTCTGCAGCCCTTTCTTCATCACATAATGTTGGTAGTATTGAGCAATGTCTTCTGCTGTGGCTCTATGGTTTCTGAGGCCCCTGCAATATATTACAAAGGTCAAGCAGCAATTAAGTAAGAGCCTGGAATTTCTCCCTTCTTCCACTGAATGTATCCTAGAGCCATCTAATCTGTCACTACCACAGGAGGCTTATCTATTTTCCCTGACTTCAGCTAAGTTATTCCTAATATATAGGGCTAGTAATCAGATTTGGAGGCTGTTGGGCAATGGAAAATTTTTAATATAAATCCCAGACCTAAGATCATGTTACTCATTCATGCATTTCTTTGATATATCTCACTGCTATCCCACTTTCAATTACTAGACTCTAAGGCTTCAACTGTTACAGAGTAGAAGCATCTGAGATGAGAGATACTGTGGAGTAGCTCAGATGATTATATTCATCATTAGGCTCAGTAGCAGTAGCCATAGAAGTCAGATGGTTCAGAAGAATTCATACTCTGAATATTGCCCCAGTGAGTATTTAGAAGGCCATACTGCAACCAGCACTCCAGCTTCAACTGGAATCACTTAATGCAGGATGGACTTTTGATGGGGACAGTGACCTTTCTCTCAGAAGAATCATCCATTACAGTTAGGCAGCTGCATTCAAGAAGTCCAGCCCACTTCAGGTTCCCAAATAGCCTTTGGATGCTTGCAAAAAAAAAAAAATAATAATCAGACCACAGGTATCTTACCTTTTCTTTTGCTTTAGCCAGTCTTTGAACAGGAGATCTGGAAGTCCCATCCATTCCCCTCTGCTCAGGGTAATCATAGAGCCCTCAATAGACTAGAACAAGAAACAGTTAAAGGGCTTTCAGTTATTTAATGTAAGAAGTGAAGTGTAACTCAAGTTTCAGTATATCTCACAAGATGAGAAGCCAATGATTTCATTTGATGCATTGGCTTGGATGAAACCATCCATTTTCTCCAAAAATAGCAATTAACTGAAAAGATAAATGCCAGTCCTGTTCACCCCTTTTAAGCTCTTTCACTTCTTTGTACATGCAAAATCAAGCATGGGTGAGCAGCATATTGGAGCACCTTCAACTTTCCAGTCAGTGCAATTGGCTATTCTATAACATACAGATCTAAGCAGTTAGGCTTTGCTTCACATACATGCCAGGCACCTCCTGGAAGATTCTTGCCAAGGACCAGGTGGGGGATGGCTCTGTCAGCCTCGTGCCTCCAAGTGAGCACAGATTCTGCACTCACACCGAAGTCTGTATCAGGTCGCAGAAGGGTATCAAACAGAAGAGCCACAGGGCTATTGGATCTTCCCTCTAAACCTTCAGACAGATACTCCAAATCCTAAAGAGAGATAGATCAGATGCTCAGAATGCGTGTCCTGCCAGACAGCAGGCTGTTGATAGCTGCTGTACTCCCAAGCAGCATTTTTGGAGTTTTGTGAAGTTCATTTAACTGTACACAGCCCCTGTTTATGTCCGAGAACTTTCTTGAGGATTTTAGCAGCACTGGCACTTCATGCAGGGGAAATTTGGACAACTAGAATGCTTTGCTTAAGACTCATTCCGAGTGCTTTCTACACACTCTGAAAATTCAGATGAATTCATCACTTATAACAAACCCCCAGAGCTCTTCATTATGTTGATAAACTAACGGCTTCTGCTAAGAAAGTAATTTGTCATTACACAAACCTGGTCCAAAATGGACACATCCGCTGCCTCCTGTAGTTTGCTCTGAAGAATGGGATGAGGATGAAGAGAGTGTCTTTTGAAGTAAGGGGTGTAGCCTGACAGCAAATACGAGAGACAGATTCCAGAAGGTCCATTCCCTGAAGGGACACAAAGGAGATTTTTTTTACTCCTGCAGACAGTACAGCCCTTTAAGAAATGCTTGAAGTATCCTAACCAAACCAAAGGTTAAGATACACACTTTAGACACAGAAGACTTTGTATTTTCAAGCTACCAATAACCTATCGGACACAGCTGGGAAGTCTTTCTGCCCCCATGTACCCCCTTCTGCTCCCCAGCACCATCTGAATCTTGAAGTCTCTGGCCTGCTGACAAACTCAGTCACTGCTCATCAGCTTTAAAGATCTGGAAACTGGTCACTTACTGGAATCAGCCCCAGTCTGTGCTGCAGGCAGTGTGTTAAGGAAAAAAGTCTGCCATGCCAAGAATGCCTCAGAATATAGTGCTTCTGACTGCTGGATAGCTGACCTCCTCCTGCAGACAGTGGAAAGTCTGCAACTACAGAGCCCAGCAAGAGCAGCCTGTGGAAACTTTTCACATGGCCATTCTCCAGCATGTTTAATATTTCACAGTGCCTGCATGATGAGCTGTCAGCCTCTCTGGCTCACAGCTGCTCACTACGAAGTGACTAACCAGCATTACATAATGCACTGATGATGGAGGAGAGGGGAGCTGAAGTGACAAAGCAGCCTGCAGCAGGTCATGTTGACACAGCGCCCGCACTGTGCATGTGAACCACTTGAACAAAGGCCACTTCTCCAGGCACCAAAGATGGGGAGGCTCAGGCTAACAGCAAGCTGAGCTGTGCAAAGAGCTATGCCCGTCATAACTGGGGCCAAAGTCTGCTGCAGGTTTGCAATATTCCACTCCCAGGAAAGTTATCCAGAAATTAGAAGCAAACTAAACTGCAGCTATGATAAAGCATTACACATTTCAGCTTGGTCCTTTGCTTTAGGAGGCCCCTGAGACAAATTTAAGCACTCAAGTGCACAACACTTGAGTATGCACGTGTAGAATTTAATCTCTGAAACATAGCTAAGTGGGATATAGACGGTCATAAGCACAGCTTGGGGTCCAGTGCCTGTGCTGGAGCACAGCTCATGGTGTCTCACACAGGAAAAGGTGTCCGTGTCACCACTTATGCTTGCTCACCTTGCACTACACACCTTCCCTCTCACAAGGGGTGCAATACAGTTACCACATAGCCTGTTTTTAAAAACTGATGACAAACAGCAGCTTTTTACCATTCTGTTGAATTTTGTATAAAGTCAGTATGCATCCCAAGAGATTCATCATGCATTAAAAAAATATATAATAAATAAAAAATAAATATAAAAATAAATAATAATAATAATAAAAATAATAATAATAAAAAAACAGCGTTTGTAGCACTTCCTAAACAAATAATGGGAAACAAAATAAAAAGAAAATATGCATATATACAAACCACCCACTCATCCCCTAAACCAAGCACTACTAATCAACTTTTTGTGAAGTAATTACCTAACGGTGGGTCAGGTAGAACAGGGTTCCACACCCTCCTAAACACCTAACAAACAGAACAGCACGCCAAAATAAACACAAGTCCAAAAGTTTATCAGATTTGTTATAGGAAAATAATAATAAAGAAGTGCTATTGAATACCTGGTTCCCTACTTCTCACCACTAAGATATGGTTTTGCAGGAAGCTTGGCTGTCGGAGAAGAGAGCCAGAAATGATAGCCCGGGATTTCTGGTTTGAGTACCAGTACACGGAACAAAAGCTGAAAACAAGTCCAAAGCAGTAATGGCACTGGAGAATGTAAGAGAAAGCTTACCTATGATCACCACAGGAATCGGCTTGGACCCACTCTTGTTTTGATGCCTGCCCAATGCTGAATACATCTCCCTGTCTGGAAGCATTTAGGCCCAGGAACCAACCTGTTAAAAAAGAGGAGTTCTGAAACATTTCTGCTTGACAAAAAACTGTGACTGTCTCTAGACCATGGCAGAGAGCTGTTGCAAAGTGTTATCCTTGCACTGCACACCCTCGCACTACGCTTCCACTCTCAGGACAGGCCGACTTATCTTTTCCCCTTCTTAGAAAGGAAAGGATGATTCCTAGATTATATCTAGAGAGAGGAGAGGACTCTTATCTCTCTCTCCCACATGGCTTTCAGTTCCTTCAGGACAGCTGGCAACGTCAGTAATGCTCTGAGTGCAGTACCTGACATGTTGCAGCCTGTCAATGAAAACTTCAGTTTTGCTTCTACTACGTGGAAAAGGACTATTATCACGATCCTCATTCATCACCAGTGCTTTTCACTTCTTACAGCTGCACAAGCATTTACTAGGAAGTCCCTTGGCTGCAGTTTCAAACATGAGCTGCTCCATTGAGAGAGAACTCTCTGAGAAGTGCTAACTTGGTTCCTGAACCTGTGGATGCCCTCTTAATTCATTTTCCAGGAAAGTTTCAGGTTTGAGAAAGTTGAGAAGTTTAAACAAAATATGCAGCAATATTGGAGGCTAAGTTGTCATGAGAGTGGAATGTGCAAAACATCTGATTTTGTTATGAAAGTACTCACTGGGTAGGGAATCAAAGGTTTGTTTTCATACCTTTTTTTTTTTTTTTTTTTTTTTTTTTTTTTTCCATTTCTGCAGGAATCCCATGATGTTAAATAACCACTTTTAGACTACACTGTCTCTAGTCCAGGAAAGACAGAAGTTACTTTTATTACAGTAAAATGGAGACTTTCGAAGTTCAGCAAAAAAGCTTTTGTGTTATCCTCCAGAGGGTAGCCTTTAAAAACATTACTCTCATTTGGAAAGTTAAGACAAAATCCACTGAATGGTAGGACTCTGTTCAGCAGGTATGCTCTCCACACCCTTTGCAAGCACAGCAAGATTTCTGGCAAGTGTACTGCATGCTCCCATAAGGTCTGGCACATCACTGCCTTTGACATAAGCACTGCAGCAGATGCCATCCTACAAGTGCCATGCTCCCCTTTAAGCCCAAGATTTACGTCACCAGCAACTACTTGAATGCAGTAAGGCCCCAGTGACTGAATGAGCAGCCAGGAAGCCACTGCTAAGTTTAGGATTTGAAGAATCCCAGGCTTTAGGAAAAGACGAGTGCATGCACCTGCAAGGATGTGACAGTTCTGGCAAGCAGCAGGACCATCCCTGGGCGAGAGCGAGAACTATTGCAAGAGGATTGGCTTCATCCAAGCATAGAGAAGAATGTAGAACTAGCAGCTTTGTCCAAAGTTTAGCATCACAGTTTAATAACACCTACTTACTGCCTACTACCACCTCACTATTAATTTAAGACATTCTTAGGCATTTTGTCTGAACCACTTAAAAGACATAATAGCCATGCCTTCAAGTAATTCCTAGCTTTAAAGAAAGTAGGAAACTCCAGTTCTCAGCTTAGCTGTGACCCATACGTAGATGTATATACTACAGAAGATGAATTTTCCCATATGTTGCGTCCATATGGGGTGCATCCACCCCCTGAGGCACACCTAATCCCACCCTAGCAGCACACCTCACTGGCCCAGCATTTCCCCAAACTTTTGGGTAGTGCTTGTCACATGAACCAAAACCTGTGAATACACCACCAGATAATTCTCTACCACAAAGCTCCAAAGTCAAAACTAGGAGAAGCCAGCCCCCATGATGACTTGAGGAATCAAAGGACAAGGACAGTGGTGCAGCCAGTAAGATGCTCACTTAAATCAGTCTAAATCACAGCATTTATCTGGCAGAGGTTTGTTTCTTCTTCATGGTAAGAACTAACTACCTCTCTGTGGCTGCACTAAATAAGACAAGTTCTTATTTTTTCCTAACATCTCTTCTCTCTGTGAAACTGCTGGGAATCTGAAAGTGGGAAGCAAGAGCTCTGGAAGGCTTCTGCTGCTCAGCAGTCTACAGCAGCACACATGGGAAGACTGCGTGCACTCTGCACCCACTGGTAATCCAGCAACATCTGTGAGATATTTGCTGGAAGCAAGGCTGCTGAACCAACCCAGCTCAGTGCATAGCAGAGGTGCCAACAGGAGCTGGAAGGAGCCTGATAGCTCGTCATGCTGCTCTGTGCCAGAGCTTTTCGGAGAGAGCCTGAACAGGACAAAAAAGGCACAGGACGTCGCTCTGGCAGCCTTGTTTGCTGTATGGGAAAGTTGTTCGGCTCCCAGCCACTGCTCCGTGCCACTCTACCGCACCCCCAATGCAGCACAAAGCCAGCAGCCTCGGGCTTGGTGATAGCTCCTCACGTCACCCTCCTCTTCTGTTCCCTATCTTTTGGGCACATGAAAAAGAAGCATTTGCTGGAATCAAACTAAACCTTACTGGCTAAATGAGCACAATTACTATTCTGATGAAATTCCTAGATCGACCCACATGCATGACCATTTACAACTGTAGTTTTATTCAAGATGTAAATCTTTGTTAGGGTTCACAAAACCCTATTGTGACCGTTGTAGTGTGACATCTTCTGTTGCCTGAAGTTTTTAGGCTGGACAATTCTAGCAGCACAGGATTAACTATCAGATTTGCTTCTGTTTATCCTACCATCTAGAAATGTCTCATCCACATCCTAAAGATACTATTTCTATAATTTATAGTCAATAAATCTCCTGTTTAATGCAAAACGCTGAACCTTTTGGCAGCTACTCTCATCCTACAGGCTACATGGTTGACTTTGGGGGGCAAAACTGCCCAGAGTATCACAGACGTTTTTTGTTCAAATGTTACTTCTAATGGCATGGAAAGTTAAATGTCCTTGTTGTTTTTTTTAAATTATTTTATGCACAATTTCATAGCTAGGGGACTGCATATCCACCTCAGCAGTGCAACAGATGAAAAGCTGTTCTTGCAGAGACTATTGGAAAGCACACAGGACACTGAAGTTCATGTGAACTCTATAAAGCTAGTTAACTGAATGCACACTTGAGCTGCACGGGAGACTTAGTCAGTTTAGTGACACCCATCACTACTCAGGCTCCTGCTGCAGGCTTCTTACTTTAAAGGAGTGTTTTTCCTCCTCTCCATTTGGGAGAATGCTGCAAGCTCCACAGTTCATCTCCTTGCTGCTTCCAACGCATTCCAGCGTTGATGTGATGTTACATAATTGTTCAGTCTTGGGAAAGCGTCCAGCTCATCCTGGACCAAACTCTGCATACCTTCCTGACACAGACTTGAGCCTACAGGGACTGGAACTCTGAGTGGAGCCCCTGGTAGCTCCAGGGCAGCTCTCAGGCTGTACAACTGAAACATATTTTAAGTGAGCAAAAGAAAAAGCAAAGGCAATGGAACTAAGCCCTCTGTAGCAGAAATAAAAGGTCAAGTTAAATCAGTCAGCTGCAAGCAGTTCTCCTTAGAGCATCCGTGGGACTTCTGCTCAAGTAAGGACCATGAAGCATGGCCTATACAACACAGGGAAAGCTTAAAAGAACAGTGCAATCAGTATATAAACAATGGAAGAGACTAGAAATGCTACTGTGATACTCAGGTTGAAACAAGAATGCTATCAAAGAAATACAACAGCTTCCTTTACCTTGATTTCTTCATCAACTCATGCATTTCATCAACAGCTGTTTAAGCTTCTTCAGTGCTTTTAAGAAACAGAAATCCAATGCTTTTTGCATTTTGTACTTTCCTGGTAACTTTTAAGTTATACACTTCCCCACAACTTTTAGGAGCTCTTTCCCTCACTTGCACTCTCACTCTTGCACAGAAGGCTAGTTAGCTCACAAACATAACGGAAGCCCTTGGAAAGAATCAAATTCATAGCACACAAAAATAGCATGTTTTCCCAGAAACACCCCTGTGACAGTCAGAAAGCAGCAGTACAACAGGCAGGGCACTTACAGCCTTCTTACCTTTACCTGCAGGTCTAGTGAGAAGCAAGCTCTAGATGGAAATGCCCGTAGAGCTAGAAAGCCAACCAAAGTACAAGCCTTAACACTGCCTCTGCTCTAAGACAGCCGCTTAAATATAGTAGGCTACCGGCACTAAATGAGAGGTGGAGCTGCAATGAATGGAGGAGGAGCGAGGAAAATACTTATAAGCATGAGTCAGCAGGAATATTGCCCTTCCCAGATTGTGAATGAATGGTTCTAGTAACTTTCCTTTCTTTAGTGATGTTCAGCTGACTATGACCTCAGCAAAGGCAGGTTTATAGGAGCCATGTATGGCAGAAGAAGAAATCTGCTCATTTTTAACCCTCAGGGCAAATTAAAATCTGACATTCTAATACAATGTAATGCTTCTTGTGGAAGAACTAGATTTTTCCTCTGTATCAAAAACAACATTAAAAAAAAAAAAAAAAAGGCTAACTGTAGGAATTAGAGTTATAGGGTAGCATTGTATGCTTTAGAACTGCTGATCTTTTTGGCCACAAATGGCAAGGGAACTTTTGATGACTTTTCTCCCTACTTTGGACAGTATTCGTGGTTTCAGTTTCACCTTCCGTTCAGAAGCAGTTCATACACATGGAGACGTGTATGAGAACTGCAGAGTGCACTGTCAGACAGGATCCTGCTGTGTGTGGGAAGTGTGAAGTCACCCAGAGCCACCAATACCAACTCGTATGAGTCAAGTTCAAGAGGAGTAAATCACACAGTATTCAAATGCCTTGCTCTATTTCTTCTACTTTCCCATTTTCCTCTAGTATTTAACGTTGTAATAATGTTTTAATACACTTCCTCTGTCAGACAGTTCCTAAGTAGCAGCCATCCTCCCTGTAAGATTTTGGCAGAAGTATCCTGTATTCAACCAAGGTATCTTCATTAGCATCTCTGGGAAACCAGACACTATCAGTTTCCAGCCAACCATCAGTTTCCCACAGGGCTGTTGGTCTTATATTTTTGTACTGAATTCCACAAGAGGAAGAAAGACAGCTGCTCATCAGTGGCTCTTAAATCAGGAGTCACTGCTTAGCTCTACACAGTATTAAGTCTGTATCCCTTTGCTGAATTCAAAATTCAGTCTGCATTCAACACATATTGAGCTTGGTACTAATCAAGTACAGAATACGAGAGCTTATTCAACAGAAGAGCATCTCCTAGACCTCTTCTATGCAGAGATCCCTGATCTGAGTTTTTATTTCTGATGTAATCATTTGAATTAAACTCCTTACTTCAAAGATTTTTTCTTTCAACAATGTTGTATAAAAAATGAAAACAAGTCTTGAGCAAATTCTACGCTCTTAAGACCCAGATCAAAGTGTGATGCTGTGTAACATATTTTGATTATACCAGAATCACGTTTTTGACAAATACAAAGCCATTGTTCCACATCAATTTTAGCTAACGCTGACTCCATTCATAATCCAACTCCGTAAATAAGTATGCTGAACTGAGGGGATTTTGTTTGTTTCTTTTTCCTTAAGGTCTCTTTCAAGTTGTCTGGGCCTTTGCCCAAGGTAGCACTTGCACAGAACCATTAAGTAATATACTTAATACATTGTACTGATATTTTTTTACATGAGCAAAGGCTTTTATGCACACAATCCAGGCATATGTTTACTGGCAGATAACAAGCGTGATCAGTATCGGTCCAGACAAATTAAATTGCCAGAGAAACGAAGGCATTTGTTAGGATAGGTGACTTAACAACTGTCCTGTTATTAATGTTTTCAAAAGGTATCTTCAATATATTGCCATATTGCATGTCAAAAGTTTCAGAACAAACGTGTTCTAGTCAGTACTTGCTCAAAGCATAGATGCAACAGGAAACCATTCAATGGCTTGACAGGCTTTATAAGCAGTAAAATCAGGAATACTTATGTGTGCACATCTGCAGAAATAAAAATTGACCTCTGCATACAAGATGAGATGCTCTCTTCGTTTCCCACTAGGTTTAGGAAAACTACAATCTCTTTAACATTACATCTGCTAGAAAGACCAGGATGTCTTTCCAAAGTCAGTCTGTGTAATCTGCAGTTCTGCTGGCAGCCAGCCTTTGATCTACAAAGGTATGCTGCATTTTCTTCCTTACTCATTGCAAGCAGTATCATTCAGATTAATACATGCCCAGGAAGTAAGCTCGTACGTAAGGTCTCCAGCATGACTTTGCATTACCTCTGTTCATAGCTGTGTATGAGCATGCATTCAACAAGCAGTCCAGCTCCCTTCTGTGCATAAACTGACAAACACACTATGCAGCCTCTTTAGAGGGCTTCAGATTTTTCTAGGAAAAAAGCCTTCCAGCAGTCCATAGATGCCTGCACTGAGGCACCTGGCACTGCGCTCGGCTCAGCGCCGAGGACTCCACATCTTCGTGTCATGTGGGACAAGTAGACATCCGGCAAATAGAAGATCAAAGCTAATTTTGTATGGGCTTCTCGTTCTCCCTCTTCCAAAAATAATACAGTAACTTGTAGCCTCTAACAAGCAATCCAGAAAAAATACTAATCCAGATTAAAACATGAAATGGTCTGACCAAAGCAATATAATGTTTATGTTACAGTTTGTGAAAAGTTTCTTAAGTGAAAGTTTTTTTTTTTTTGAAATGAAGACCCATAGCATTACAAACTGCCTTCAGATAACATAAAGAATCAATTCTACCTTCATTTGTACAGTCAGAAACATGGAGGTAGAGGGCTACACTGGCTTCCACATCAGCAAGCCTTCCACATATTGCAACAGTAGTGAGGCAAACGATTCCTCATCACTGTGCAGAGGGGAATTCAAAACACACTGCATCACACTTTGGTCCTGGCCAAAGAAGGTTTGGGGCTGCTGGCACAGGGACAGCCTTCACTGGGAGCTGCTCACTTCACCTTCAAGTCATACATACAGTTCACAGGACTGCCAATCCTGGGTGCATTTGTTGCCAAGGTCTGTTTGTTTTCCTTTTGAGCAGCCTTGATACAGTTCCCAGAAGAAGTCAGTATCACCTTAGACCAAGGTAAAATGCAAAGAGCATGCCAAAAAGCATGAGCAGGCCTGTAACGCTGTTCTTTTTGCGCCTGTTGCAAAGGATTTCCTTGTTATCAAGTGACTTAACATCTCATGTCACCAAGAAGCTGTGTCCACCCATAGCCTACAGGTGAAACCTGTCAAATGGCCCTGTTTCTGCTGCCTTCTGCTTTGGGGGAGCAGAAGGAACAATGCTTCCCCAGTGTCAGAATGTGTTGCTCGTCCCTCTGATCCTGACAGCTGGTGGCAGGACGCGTCTCAGAACCTTTCGCACCACCCTCCCCTCTGGCCAGATGTAAGGTGCCAGATTATCACAGCACACTACATTGTTTTGCACATTAGAACTTCATGTTCTGCTGGTTTTCAATAATCACAGGAACACTCCCAGAGTGATCCTCTGGGTCACAGCAGTGCTTTGATGCTTTAGTGTTTCTCTAAATTACAGCAAAAAAAAAATTAAATTCTGCATGTCTTCTGTTTAGGGGGAATTTCTAAGCGCTTCAGTACTTCCCACCAGCCTCCCCACTGCAGATGAGGCAAAGCCTTGCACAAATATTAAAACATTTGACCAATTGTTTCAGTTCTTTGTGATCTCCAGGCAGTATCTGAAATCCAGCTTAACTCCTGCTGCCAAAATGATCTCCACTTTTACAGTGGAAAGTTTTCACCTACAAAACTCTATGTTAACTTACCAAAACTAATACCTACATATTTAATGATGATAAATGGTGTCACATTGATACTCAAACGTTTTACCTTTTTTTTTTTAGATTCAGCCAAACTAAACCCACATTTGATACCAGCAACACAATCTGGACCTCATTTTGCAAGGAAAAAAAATAATCCAGCAGAATGTTCCCTGAAGATGTCCTGGCAGTCTATCAGAAGGGGCAGGCTGTGGCCATACCATCTCTGACAACAGCTGGATCCCTGAAGTGCACTGTTTTGCTGGATGACTTGGGTAATGAAGGAAGCCATGGGGAAGACAGAGGATTGCTGGGATTGACAAAAAAAAACAACAACCAGCAGCTTAGGAAACTTTGCAAGGGGAGACCCAGTTCTTCTTGTGACTTCCTACACGTGTTTGTGCATTCACATGGCATTCTCTAAAGAAAAATTTGACCCGGAGCTTGTGCCCTAGTTTCCTGTGCCCCTGCCAAGGCCGTATCTGTCCTGTATATATGCTTTTTCTGCAGTATTTATGCAGCTGAGTCCAAGAGGAGAGAAATAAAAGTTCACCATATTCACCTGTTATTCAAAAGGACACTGACCTCCCAGTCAGATAAAGGATTGCCATGGTTCTGTCTAGTGCCCTTGAAAATTGTTTGAGGAAAATAAAGATCAAAACCTTGTATTTTGCTGGAACTGTTCTAAAAATAATGACTTTTATGTTTTTTTCCCCTGCCCTCAGCTTGAAGTCATTATCTCCCTGTCTGTTCTCAGAGGGTGGTCTTCCTCAAACCATGGGGGCAAGCCAGTCTTCACTGTCCAGAGGCATCTCCCACTTCCACCAATGCCTCTTGGAAACATCTGTTAAGAAATAAACTTGGGGAAGTGAGAATCGATCAAACCACCCAGAAGGGCGACGGAGCTTCACTGCCTGCATTCATGCAGCTGTACCTTCAGCAACTGCAGTCAAACCTTGTTTGGGCACTCTAGTGCTTGCTGAAGGCAACCTTCTTTACCCAAGCTAACTAACGAAGCAGTAATAGAGAATGTTAGCAAAGATCTAGCTACACTGTGCAAACTCCCTGAAGAAGATGTTCCTAGCCCATGCAAAATGGCCCACTGTGCTGTGAAATAGCAGTGAGTAGTTCACAGAAATACAACGAGTCCGTGTACAGAAGCAATGGGCTGGATGGCTACTCATGTGTTTCCCCTAGCCAAGCTTTAGAGAGAGGCCAAGGCCACTGTCCTCTCCCCAGATCACAGTGTATGGTGACAACAACCAAATCCAATATGCTGGGACCTCCCAGCACATAGGCCTCCTTTCAAAAAATGTAGGCTGTGAAGAGGCACAGTCCTTTGGCTTAAGGGATGCGGCCTTCCGTGCTTGTTGGGACCAGGCTTCTCCTGTTCCTCAGTACAACAAGCAGAGGAGAGCTCAGCTCCCATGCGCTGCACTCAGAATTCTGATGATCTCAAGATGGATGAGGTTTAGGGAAAAGGTAAACACATGCACTTTCACTCCAAACAAACAGCAGCTATGACCTGGTCAAAGATTAAACTGCAAATGAAGCTGGTAGGAAATTTTCCTCTTATCTTAATGTCAATATATTCATAAACATTTACAAGAGTGCAGGATGAGAGAATGGGCTTTTAATTTCTGCTGTGCTATAGTCAGTGTTCAGCCATGTGCTCTCTACCTATACTGGTACTTGGCAACAAATAGTGAAGTATAATTGCTGCTGCATTACATTATGATGTGCCAGACTGAGCAGCCTAGAAAGCATACACGCAAAGCACAAAACACCCCACAGAGGGTGACATTCCTGCTTTCCTAACAAGAAGAACTGACAAAGAACCCTTGAAACAAGAGCCTCTGAGCACTGGATGTATTTTCCGTATGTTTTCTCTCAAGGCAAAAACAATGAATATCAAACACAGACAGTTCTAAACTGGAAAATGAGTAAGCAGTACAAGGAGCTGAAATAGACAACATGGTAGACTTTCTCAAGGAAAAACAAGCATTTCTGCAGCAGAACACACCGGTTTTGTCTGTGGGGGATGAGCAAAGGACTGTGCTAGTTAACTCACAAATTTCTTAGCTGCAGGGCTGACATTCATCATCCTCAAAGCAGCTGATACTGGCTGTGAGAGGTGGATGCTGCTCAAATCCAGTTCACTAATTCTGATGTACCTGACTGCAGCGTTTTATTTCCCCTGTAACTTTAGAAATATGTAGGAAGTTCTATGAGATTTTAGCAGCAAGTCCCTTCCTTCAAACAGGGCTCAAAGCAAACTGAAAGATCAGCTCAAGTAATACTTCCATAATAAGTTTCTTAGGGCCCAATTTCCCTCTCACGACAGCACTACCTGCAGCAGTGTTGACTGCTAGGTGTGAAAGTTAAAGTCCATTGGAACTGCTCTGCATAAACCTGGGCAAACCTGTATCTTTTCCAGAGAAAATCTTATCACTTAGTCACAGTATAACAGTAATGCATTAAAGTATAACAAAAATATTTCATAGGTCAAGGCTTCCCGTCTGTAACTGTCACCTAAACTAGTTTAAGGAGGCTGGAACATGAAAGGAGCTGCCCTCTGCTGTAAGATAGCACATGTAATCTGGAGTCACGTTGGATGTGAAATATTTTCTATGAACTCTGAATTGGCACAGTGGATTTGCAGTAAAAAGGCAGGATGACTGCACAAGAATAAAGCTATTCAGTAATGAATGTATTTGTGTCAGAAATGCCTGGTGGTCTGTGCAATTCCACATTTATATGTTGTCCATTTTCACTCACAGCAGAGCTCAAAACTGAGCATATGAAAAGGAATAATGCAGTGCTGCTGTGGTGAGAATTATCCATTCAGCATCGAGCAGAATAAGAGCCATGATGTCCTGAAAATCTCATTTAAATCGTTTTCTTAGGAATGTCAACAAAGGTGTTCTCCCAGCTCTCCCTCCAAAGCTATTTCACTAAAATTTGCTGTTCCTGCTTCACATGCAGTTTTTTGCTCTTGGTCTGCTTTTTGCGGGTCTTGCCTTTATAAACCAAACAGCTATTTCTAGGCTAGTGACGAGAGGCTCCAGATTAGTCCTACACCCTTACCAACAATCATCACACAGAAGGAACATATTTATGAATCACTCGCATTTTCGGCAGCTGTCAGACTGACTGCAGCATGTCCCAATTTTTCTGCTTGTCTATAGAGAAACTGCAGGCACGAGAAGGAGGACATACTTCTGATTCTCAGAAGTCAGTACTTGTCTGGATTGAAAATGATAAATTGCAATCGTCGAGTAAAACCTCCACCAAAAGAGCTTGATGACTGCACGGGTATCCAACCTTCGGAATACCTGGGCCACACTGAATGCAGAGTTGTTGTCTTGGGCTGCATATAAAATATATAATAAACACAAATAAATAATAACACTTTTTTCCCTTTAAATTAAAACATAAAAAAAGAAGGCGACATGAACACAAAGCTAGTGGGATATTTGACGTTTTTGTTAAAATAATGCATCAGTCTGGTTAGATGGAAGTGGTTGCAATTCCTGGTGAGTTCTCAAGGTGCTCATTATTGATCCAATTTTTCTCTTTCCGTGCTTCATCCTTGAAAAGAGTTGTTCACAAATGTACATACTGCCCAAAAGCGATGGTGCAAATAAGGCTGGATTGTGAAACAAAGCATGTTTCTCTCTGGTAAGATTGGTCTTATGGAAGTCTAGTAGGGAGACATGGTCACATTTTCCTTTGAGTTGAATGTCTGATTGCAACTCTATACATTCCATTTGAAAATCTACAAGCAATGTACTTATTTATAATATATTTACAATGCACAAATTGTAAATATACTTATGTTTGTAATATATTGCCCTATTCTGACTTATTCCCAAGACATAAACTGTTCTGTACCTTCCATCAACCTCTAGACCTCTCCCTTTTTTCATATCCTGGCATGAGAGAAGGAGTGTAGCATAGAGTTCTCTATGCACAGATGAGCTATGGGGTTGTGCAGCAGCCTTCTGGTTTGGCTCCCATCCTTTCGTAGCACTGGGTTTTCTTTGCTGTTACCAAGCACTGAGCTGATGTTTTAACAGGGCTATCGCAGATGACCTCAGATTCAAGCTCAAGCTAGCTCTGGCTAAGCTTCCTCATCTGGACTTGTGCCATAGTGTGAGACAACATGCAGGAATTGGGCAAAAGCGTGAACTTCTGTGATAATGCAGAAGCACTGCACAGTTTGTTTTTCAGACCAATGCAGTCACCCATGTGCCTGAAAAAAAGCTGACTGGAAAGCCTCGGAGACTTTCTGAATGCTTCTTGTTCACAAAGAAACTTCAGTAAAATTGAAGGGCTAGTGTGTGGGAGGAAATGTGTTCTCACCTTGTACATCAAGGAGGAAGGTGACCTTCAGTAAACACAGCAGAGAAGCACAGAGAGCTCATGTTGCACTCCATACCCTGGTCAGATCTCGATCTGCTCTTATTCTCTCACCTGGAAAGAAGTATATACAAGAAGAGCTTATGCAAGGTCACTCCTGGGTTTGCATAAGAAATGGCTGCTTTTAAGCATATTTGAAAGAGATGAAGTACATACACAGCCAGTGGATGGACTGAACCTGAGCTTGCCTGAAAAAGACAGGATTTTAAGCAGCACCAAGGTAACATACATGATCTCCAAAGTACTTCCCACCATTATTACACATGGTAAACACTGCCAAGGATGTTGAGCATGGGAGAGCCAACTGTTAAATGTGTCTGCTTCAACAATGCAATTTAACACTGCACTTCGCATGCAGGCTCCCTGGGAAAGCAGCCTTTCCTAATGACCTTTCTTCTGAGTTTTACTTCTCCATTTCAGGCTAACAATGCCAACTAAGTCACTGTGGTACTATTTCACCCTCCATCTGTTGTCTCTTAGCCAACCTTCCCTCGTGGTCTACATTATATCTGCATTCTTCTTCCCAGCTTCCCTACCTTTTTCTCGTTCCTACAAAGCCCACTGAGCTACATCAAAAGCCTTTACAGAATCACAGAATCACAGGGGTTGGAAGGGACCCCCAGAGATCATCGAGTCCAACCCCCTGCCAAAGCAGTTCCCTACACCAGGTCGCACAAGTTGGTGTCTGGAACATCTCCAGAGAAGGAGACGCCACCACCTCCCTGGGCAGCCTGTTCCAGTGCTCCGTCACCTCACTGAAGAAGTTCTTGCACACATTCGTGCAGAACTTCCCATGCTGCAGTTTCTGGCTGTTCCCCCTCGTCCTGTCTGCACACACTGCTGAAGGCAGTCCGACCTGGCCGCTCTGCCTCCCACACCTCAGATATTTACCAGATCAGGTCCCCTCTCAGTCTTCTTTTCTCAAGGCTGAACAGACCCAGCTCACTCAGCCTTTCCTCATAGGAGAGATGCTCCAGGCCCTTCACCATTTTGTGGCCCTCTGCTGGACTCTTTCCAAGAGGTCCTTGTCTTTTTGTACTGGGGAGCCCAGAACTGGACGCAGTGCTCCAGATGAGGCCTCACCAGGGCAGAGTACTTTCTGCTTGTGACCATGGAAAAAAAGTTAGAAAACATATTTATATAAACCTCTCAGTAACAAAAATGAGCCGTGTGTCACTTCTCAACTTGTGTTTGATGCCTTCGATAGCTGTAACACAAGCTTTAATTCCTAGATTTTTTTTGCCCAGCCCTTTGCAAAATCATGCAAAGGAACATGTTTTCTTTCTAAAAGGAATTTTCAAATTAAAATATTTTATACAATATTTTACATATTATATTCTATATAATTCAGCAAAACCTCTACTATTAGTGCATGAAAATGCCTGATGTTTTAACTGTCTGCAAATATCAAGTACAGCTATTTTAGAAAATTAAAAATTGCACTTAAGCAGCTCTGCAAAGTAACAAGAACTTTCACTATCAGTCTTGAAAGGTTACCCTGAATTTCTTTCCTTTTCTGTCTTAAGGATTTCAATTTGAATTCAGGTATAAGTGTGATTACAAAAGAACCCATGTCTGAGGGTAGGCATGTGATCATGTGCTTCTGCTGAGGAGTGGTTTTGCTGCAATGCTCAGTACAAAGAATATCCTCAAGTTCATTGCTGAATCAAAACTTTACATGTCAGGTCAAGTGTTGGAGTCTGTCAGAGTGTCACATAGGTTTGACTATCAGATGAATGCTTGTAAAAAAACCTTTGTCACTGTGTGATAGGACAGTATAGGAACAACCTACGAGAACATGTTCCTCCATCTTTGTAGACCCCTTACTTTTCAGTTTCATGTCTCTCCAGGACATTGCGATTCTCTCCAGCAGCTTCTACTGAAAATATGCATATTTTTTCCGTATGTGAGTATTTATTTCCTAACACATCTGTGGATAAGTAAATCGAGCAGTCTATTGGAGCAAATTAGTTCAACTTAGTGTTAAAACTATTTGCATGCTGCATTTATTCCAGAGGCATGTTTGTCCCACTGGTTCTGATCTTATCTTTACTCTGTACCAAGAAATGACTCCCATGAACTTTAGTAGGTCATCCTGTTAAACATCTATCCACTCTCTCCCACTCTTCCTAACCATCTAGAAATAATAATTAACTGAATGTGCTGGGAAGTGGGTGGTGACTTCACGATCCAACTCTTGCTATGTATTTCAGATGACTTATACATTGCTAGGGGTTTTTTCCACTACGGAAGTCCCTACTCAGACTTACCAAAAGATTTTTCACTGTTCTTCATTTCTTTGGCGAAGAAGCAATATACATTTTTAAATTTGCAAAAGCAGGCTTTGTGCCCCTGTGCGTGGGTGTGACCCCATCAAAAGCAGCACGCCATGAAGCAGAGAGCTCACATCTATGACTGTTGGGAAATGGAACAACTGAGTCAGGCAGAACTCCGTGCCAAACCTCTTCTGCTTTATAGCAACTCCAATCCTTTAAAGATTCTGCCAAAGTCTTTGGAAGTCTGCTGCTCAATAACATACTTTGGGAATAGTATTGATATATTCAGCGGAGTAGAGAAGGTATTTGAAGCAGCTTGCAACTGTGAGAAAGTGCCTAGCACAGGGCAACAGGTTCACTGGTTGCAGCTGGCAGAAACAGAAAAAGAGCCTTAAGGGAGGTAAAGCCAACTCCTGTTGGTCAGATGCAGCAGCTCTTTGGAGGAAACTTGCTGGCTTCAGCTGCAACCAGCTTCAGCTGGCGGCGGGATGTGTCACCTCACACATCCTAGCCTGCTGGGCATTGCTTGTAAGGAACCTCTTTAAAAGGCTGGGAATACAGATCACAGTGTGTTGCACTGACTCTTGGGAAGCCAGCAGGTTCCCCACATCCATTTGACTTAAAAACAAAACCTAGCGGCTTTGTTTATTTAAACGCCTCAAAAATGTGGTTTTGAAAGAGGCTCAAAAGCCACATGAAGACTAACATGTTAAAACGAGCCTGAAATTCAGGTTTAAGAGTTTCATTATAACCAAGGCTCCTATTAGATATCCAGAAGGAGGCAGTTCTTTCTGGCTGAGTAGCTGAGTATCAGTGAGGGACGGAAGGAAGTTCTGCAGCCATGGTACCAAGAGATTGCTGCCAGGATTGCACACAGCCATAGCCAGCTAGTCCCTTGCCTTCACAAGTACATTTGTCATGAAAACTAGGTTGTTTTTCCTCTTCATTTAACTTCATTTAGAGTTGAGCAAGGCAGTTGTCAGGGAACAAACCAAACATTTTTTCAGCTTGTAAATACAGATCATACATGTTAATTACCCAGCTCAATCTCCTCATCTGAAACACCAAGGAGACTGAGGTTGTTCGTGGGAGAAGCTGCCTGCCAGCATTCCTGAAAACTTACTTTTGGAGCATCTGTTTTGTTTTTAAGGGAGGTCTGGACCAAACTACGTTGCATTAAATGGAAAGGCTATGAAGCAAAGGTAAGCATCCCAATTAATTTCAAGATCATTTAGAACGGTCTTCCTGTATAATTATTTTATTTTGATGCTTGTAATATAGGAAAAGACACCAAGAAAGTAATCTAAAGGGCTTTGGAAGAAACCTGGCAAAGAATATGTCAATCAAACTAGGATCACATCACTCCCTTTCTAGTAGGCCTTTGTATTTCCTAGAATACATTTGCTGTAAGGGTGAAAAAATACAATTAATGCTAAATTATAAGTGAGTATGTAATTTTTTTCTAGGGCTCTGAGCTGGTCCAATCTCCTTGCATTCTACTTCTAACAAGGGAGAGCCCAGAAGCTTGTCCTCCAATTCATGTCTGTCTGTAAATAAAACAATTAACATCGATTTCCAAGAGAAGAAGGATAGCCTGCGGCTCTGCGGGCTGCACATCTTGCTCCATTTCTTTGGGATGTGTTTGTTTTGGGGCCAATCGCTACACCAAAGGCATTACTTAGAGATGCCTTTGAAAGGCATCTACTTAGAGAACTGAAAGGAGATGTGAGGCTACTCAAACAGCGATTACCCAATCCTATGTGACGCAATTGATTTATGAGTATTAGATGTTTGTGCAAAACACTGGGTTAACAGTTGTAAACAGATTCTAGAAACCATAACCTGCCTGTATTGTATTTGTTGCAGCTTCCTTTCTCCCTGAAGTTCCAGGAGACAGGTAAGTCCATGTTAACCTTTCAGCTCTGGGGCTTTAGATCGCTCTCATTCATGCTGACAAAGCCAGCATGCTGCCCTTACCCACAGTGACAAGGCTGTGTCGCTTGTTGCACTTCCTCCTCCCTGTCTCTTCTTATCAGTCCACCAGCAAGTTCATTTACCTTTACCCATATTCTAACTATGCCATTCAGAGCGTTTTATTAGACCTCAAAATACCAAGCAGTGTCTGAAGAATCCTTTTCCTGCTATAAGCCAGCTTTTAACTTCATGTCACACACAGTGATCAAACAGGGAGTGTGCAGATGGAACTCTCATTGTCATGGGTAAATGACAACCAGCTATTTCCAACAATTCACTTTTCAAAACTTGTTCAAGATGACTCTCATATGAAGCTCAGCTGCAAGAAGTACAGAACTCAGACAATAGCACCCACAGGCTCACAGCAAGTTCAGTAGTAAACAATGAGTTCCAAAAAGGATTAAAAGAAGCTTTCACTCTTGTCATGGATGAACTCAGTAGCATACTTTGTTTATAGCTCCCTGGATGTTCTCTATTCACTGTCCAACAGTCCCAAAAGCACTGTGTTTGGCAAACGGTGACAATACCACAGTCGCCTTGTAGTGGCAGACAGAGCTTTGATTCAGTCATGCTGTGCCTCTCAGAGCACTTTTCAGCCATGCCTAGATATCAGAAGTGTTAATATAAACGTAGGATTTGATTTTTAAAAGCAGTGGGTAGAAAGATTTAGAAGTTTTGCACCTTAACACAATCATTCATCGAATAAAATTTTCGTTTCCCAATCTTTCTGTTGAAAGCGGAAAGATAACGGTGGAATAACAGAACACAGCTATCTGAAACCAAGCTCACTTTGTTAACAGCAGCATGACCTGAGGGATGAAAAGCAGCTCAGATATTTGGATTATCTCCAGACTTCAGTGACTTTTGGTTACTCACTTGAGCTCTCTGAACCTCTCTGATTGTAGTTACATTGCATGGGCATGGAATATTTTTCAAAGCTTGTTTGTACAGTGTTGAGAAGAATCAGATTGCAATCCCTTTTAGAGCTTCAAAAGCTAATACTAACAGTTCAAACAAATCATTTCTAAAGACCTGTAATGATTAACATCTGACTTTTCATCACGTAATTAGAGGCCTTCTTTTCCAAATACATAAGTATACTTCTCATGATTTTGGATGACTAATCCAAAAATCCCAGCACTTGATATATTAACGTCAGAATATAAACTGAACATATTCCAGTGTTACAGTATTACATTTCCATAGTTTCCTGAGGGCTTTCAAAGCTATATACAGTTACATTTGTATTGAATCAACACGATTTGTTACTTTACATTAAAAATACCACCTAATCTTTCTGCGGGCATTTCATGGTCATCTCTAAACCAAGCACAGCTCTTGTGAACTCCAGCTGACACACTCAGAAAACTCCTGGCCACACATCTGTACGAAGTGGCCCACAGCCATACCTCCTGCAGCTTCACAGCAGGACTGACCCGCCAAATTTAGATGGAGATGTCCAAGCATCAAGCAACAAGCATTAAGGTGAAGAAGGACTGTCTGACTGAGAGCATGCAATGTGACTGCCATCAGAGGGACTGCTCCTGAGATACAGGCCTCCGCTCTGATTCGGGTCTGAATACACTGAAAAAGCATCTCAGGCACACATTATGTGTGATGTAGTATGCTTTCTGCAATACAGAGCAGATTGCATCAGGATGCTGAAGTGCCATCTTGAGGAAGGTGAGTTACTGAGCAACACCAGCAGCTGAACAAGTTCATATTGAGGTGGCTCTGTACATGTAAGAAGTACTTTCCACGTGCAAGGCACTAAATAGACTTTGCTTCTGAAATAATATACTATTATATATATATACTAGATATATATATTATCATATATATATATAGTATACAGCTATTATATAGCTGTAAGTAACAATGATGGAATGAATCCTCTGCCAGCACTCCTCCCATCACCACATTCACAAGAGAACAGGTTTTGGTTCTCTCGCTACTAGACATTATATCAACTCCCTATTACGTAGCATAAGCCAAGAGGAGCTAGGATAAAACCTGCCTAATGAAATTCCAAGTTGCTCTTTTTGCAATATACTTTTTACAGTATCCAAACACATGTCATTGTGGTGAACTGCTTTGTCATTTGGGTCAGAAGCTTTCATTTAGGTACTCTGTAGAACTGAGATCCTGAAGTGCACATACTTCTTCCTATATTTGAAGTGCTAATCCACGTTGTGAGTTAAAGAACTTTCCTTGTGGGAGGCAACAAAATACAACAGAACTCCAACAGACTCGTGGTGCACAGCACACCGTGCTGCCAACACTGGCTGCAGCAGTTCCTGCAGAAGGTAGATAGGAAGGCACACTATTATTGCACAGCTAACAAATACCTGCATGCATTGTGTAACAGGGACATCATCTGAGCTTAGACTTTCATATATTTAATGAGACGTGCTTTAAGATAAGGGGAAAACCCCTAACTACTCCTCTCTCAAGAACACACAATTAAAAGCTACACACTGCAAAGAAGATAAGAAAGTTCCAGAAAAAAAAAAAAAAAGTTTTTTCCCATTTTACTTACCTCATTTCCTTTTCCCTACTACAGGACACAGCTTACAGAAACCTTACAACATTCCAGTTCAACCTATAAACTGTCCATTTAGCACAGTGCCTATCAGCACTGTTTACGCATAATGATAAAGCATAATGTTCTGATTTCCAGATATATAAACCATAAGTTTATAACTGATTCACTTACTATTGATCCTATGGCAATATATTAAAAAGTTCCATGCGTGTTTTACATTATAGCACTCCTGGATTAGGTCTGTCTTTCTCTTCTAAACCACTAGAAATACTATGCCTTTTAAAAGCATAAGAACAAAGACCCAACCAGGAGACTTAATCACAAAGCTCTAATTTCAGAAGTTATGCCCTTGCTGACATTATGTACCTATACATTTGCACCCTATTTAGTATAACTGACTGTTATTTTACACAAATGCTGTTCCCTGATGCTTTACTTCAGCTCTTACAAGTTCCCACTTTGGCAGCTCCACAGAAAAGGATTATGCATGCAAGATGCCTGCTATTAGCCAGAGAGCTGAAGCGAGTATGCAAAGAGAAACACACAGGAGAAGTATACAAAAAACTAATTCAAGAAATATCCAGATTATTTGTTTTAATTAATGCTTATATTTAAAAATCAAGTCAACATTGCATTTAAAGTAAAAAAAAGTCATGAAAGGGAACATAAATTTCTTGCTTGTTCAGCGAATTAAATCTCATCACGCAGGTTTAGACTTTGAACAACCTTAAAACCTCAACACAAAGACCATTAACATATGCTGCTTTCCACTGTTTAACCCACAAAGCCATGATGTAATTGAGGACAGAGCTCTCACATAGTGGCTGGATGACACAAACTATAAGCAGCATTAACAGGTCAGTCGTTCTGTTCCTTTTCCTACCACTCATTGCTCATCCTACCCACTCTCTGCCCTCAGTTGCATCAACATACTGTGAGGACAATCAATTAGAATTAGGATCATAACCCTTGTGATAAAGAAATAATGATTTTAAACACCAGAAAAACAGACATCCTCCCCAAGTCAGTTTTCCTTGCTTGCAATTCACTTTGCCTTTTGGCTCCAATGACAGTATTGGAGTCATCATAACATGAACTAGGTTCTTACATTACTTTTTATCTCATGACTTACGTTTTATCACTTCCTAGCTGATTAAGAATGATAGAAGATGAAGGCAGTTCATGAAACTCAATAGCCCTGTCGATACAATGACCTTGAATATTGGTCTGAAAACTCCTATGACTAGACCCATTTTACAGGCACCACAGCTTAGAGCCGGTAACACGGCAGGTCCATGGCCAGGAATTCAACACACGGGTCAGCTCCAGTGAGGATAACCAAGGCCAGGTGCAGACCAGGCACTACTAAACGGGCCCACAGCAGCAAGGTCATGATGGGCAGCAAGACCCAACACCTGGCACACAAATCAGCATCATTCACAGCTCTGCTGGGGGAACAGAGCCCCAGCAGTGGGATTATATGAGCTCCTGAGCCCATGGGCAGCAGTGTGTGGGATAGAGAGTTCATGTGAGGCTGCTTAGGCCATCTGAGCCTGCCCTCAGGTTGCAAAAATGATCTCTATTAAATTTGGGATACAAAGAACTACATCTTGTCAGTAAGCCTACATGAATGCTGAAACTCATTTTTCCGTATCAATAATAAGCATCTTCAGGAAAATGAGCCTAACTTTCCTCATATTTTGGCTTCCTATTGGATAAATAAGCAATTTTCATCTCCGTGGTTATTAATCTGAATTGCTTATAAGCACTGCTGTTCACCCTAGGCTTGTAATAATTATTATGTATTTTGTACACATGCACTCATATGTTCTACACACATCTTAACTTAGGCTCTCCGGCTCTTATTGAAGAGCCAATGAAATCAGCAGAAGTCTTTTCACTCAGTTTAATAGTCTGTCTCATACCTCTGTATACTAAATGAAGCTAAAAGGAGAAAATGGAAGAAGTCTAAGAATAGCAGGATATTAAAGGGATTACTGCAATAGGGAATAAAGCAGATTTCCACAACAACTTCTGATTTTTAGCATTTTATTTAGCCAAACCAGATGGAACTGCCTTCAAAACAGCTCTGAATCTCATGGGAAAAACTGACTATGACAATAAGCACAAATATCAGTTTACCCCATGTTCATCTCATGTCACTTAGAGCCAGTTTTCTTTTGCGTGGAATAGAATCATAGAATCATAGAATCATTAAGGTTGGAGAAACAACTAGGATCCCCACATCCAACCGCAGCCCACTCCCACCCTGCCCACTGCCCATGTCCCTCAGTGCCCACGTCTCCATGGGTCTCAAACACCTCCTGGTCACATTTGCTGTGAACAGGTTAGCATTCACTACTTCACCACATCACACTCCCAGTAGGAAAGCAGAGTACTAGCCTCTTACTGCAGAGCACTTTACCTTTCTCTGGGCAAGAGGGGCCTGAATTTAGCTGTGTAGCTTCCTGTAATAAAACACATAAAATAAGGTTCCCATGAGTTTCTCACTGATGTGTCCTCCAAGCAAAGCAGTTCCAGAGAGCACATGACCAGACTACCGAACACTCACATCTCTATTATTCTCAAAGGAGACAAAATGCCTCAAGTCTCATGTGAGGGTGAGCTTCTCCCTACCCCTTGGGCCCTTTGCACCCTGTCACCATGAATTCCTCTGGCTCCATCATCCCACTCGCACCTCCAATAGTCCCTCTTCTTCCAGTGACAATACATAGGGAATGAAAAATAGTAGTAGTAGCAGTAGTTACATTCAGGGAGATGCTACCTGGATGCCATTGGAAGCAAACTGCTTGCACAGCTTGGAGTCTCAGAGCAAAGTTTCCTTACAGACATTGACACTGAGGCCCATTCCAAAATGTCCCTAATTAATGTCTGTTTCTTCTGGTGTTTCTCTGTCGAATTAAACTGTCTTTTGCTCTTTTGAGCCTTTGTAAAGATCTGTAAATCTGTCTCCAAATGACAACTTTGACTATTGGTAGAGACAGATTGTGTAACACAGCTTTCGTAGCTCTCTGCTCTCAGCTGTGCAATGTATTCTCAAGGTGAACGCCCCTCCAACTCCACCAGAACATCCTCAGGCGATCTGCCTATCTCTGAAAAGGAGATGGAAGACCATAAGAAAGTGCACACTCCCAGAGAGCCCAAAGACTACATTAATTTGTCTTTCTCAGCTGGTAGAAAATGTTCATTAATCAAGATGTATATATTTGCTTCATCTCATTGGAGAGAAAAGAGATGTTTCAAGCTGTGGTGGTGAGACCTCACCTGGAGCACATCCACATGTGGAGGCAGCCTGAGAATGGCTGTGTCTGTTCCAGCTTCCAATGAGCTTAAGTGACTTTTCTTCAAAGGGCAGCTTTAAAATGATCTCTGCCTTTTGTTCTGAGGAAAATCAGCAGCTGGCTTCTTAACCTCCTAGTCTACTGACTCGAGCACAGCATTTAGAAGATGCATTTGTATCTGTCAGTGATAGGCAAGATCATGGATTTTTGTTACAGAAGAATTCTTCCATTCATTCCAAAGAAGACAGTTCATTTAGTGATCACGCAAGGATACTTGGAAACATAGAATCCATCATGTGAAAAAGCTGTTTTCCCACAGATTGCAAACAAATAACTTCAACTGAAATTCCTGTCTCTGCTCAGATTGGTTCCTCTTTTTTTCTCTTAGCCAAACATTCATTTATTTAGGAATTTTACTTACTGTCTAATAAATATTTACTGTACTGGAATCTAAAATATACCCAGATTAGTGTGCTGGTCTAAACAGTCAACATCCTCATTGTTTTCAAGGACCAGTGTCCAAATACAAGTACTGCAGAATTGCACTGAAGACATAATGACAACGTAATTATGTGGAAGTAGTGAAAGAGGAGAAAAAATTTTCTGCAGAAATTTAGAGAATGAAAAAGGTAATTTAAGTCTGTCTTCCCAAACCAGTGTTAGATAACTGGAGGCAGGAGGGTGGGAGGAAGGAAGGAAAAAAAAAATGTAGTTTTCTTGTTCCAAGTTATTCCAAAACTACATACCCTTGGAGCAGTCTGAGTAACAAATCCCCTTTGTGCAAAATTTTTCTGGCACCCTGGTCCAGATCTGCTTCTACTCCCCCAGCTATGACTGACAGCCCTCTCATGACTTACATTCTTCTAAGTCCCTCACATTGCTAAACATCTGACTCCCATTTACAAAAGCAAAATCTCATCTGTGCAAGTGACTTGTGACTCTACCACTGCCCTGTGCAGCCCATTCTAGTGCCTTCTGGAGAAGAAATTGTTCTCAATACCCAACCTGAACCCTGATGCAACCTGAGGCCATTCCCTCTAATCTTACTGCTAGTTCTAGCTCAGGGCACAGATTTAGCATGTTAAATACACTTTTGAGCTTAACCGCAATGACAGTATAGACTTTTTCCACCTGATATGATATGCACAGGATACCAAAAAGATTTAAGTATATGTTGTTTTCAAAGCAAAACACCACAAATCCTCAGCGGGAATAAAAAGGTCAATTCTGTGGTAAATTCTGTGCTAAATAACATCACTGAGTTGCATAGTCACAGTATAATTACTGCGTGTTGAAAATATCATGACGTATCCAGCTTCACTCCAAGATCTCTGCACCACAATTTCTTATGGTTTCTGTAAGTTGCCCTCAGATCCTGTTCAAAATCTATCCAGAAACCAGAAAAGGAATCAAACAGTGATTCATTCCCAACTCCAAAACCAACCCACACACTGTTTCTAGGTGATTAATATACAGAAAATAACGCTAACTGTGGAAGAGAAACTGAACTCTGTGATCCACACAAAGATTGGAAGAATTGAGATTGTTCATTCCAGAAAGGAAGACACTTAGGCATGACAGTGAATTTAAAAACATAAAAGGCTGCTGCAGAGCTCTGCACAGGTAAAGTGCTGTAACATCACCGCAGAGCTGTAAGCAGGGTGCTTGGGAAAACTTTCACAGCAGAGTGAACCCATGTAATGGATGGCCTGGAACAAACTGCCTTAGAAGGCTTTGGAGACCCTGCCATGGGATTTCTGAAAACAGGATGTACTCAGAAACACTCAGATTTACTGATCAGTTTTCCTGTATCTACTGTCTGTCTGTACCTACTGATGTGTCCTGGACCATGGGGATGGATCAACTTTCAAACTATTGCTCTAAAACCTACTTCAGGGGCCTGGGAGGAGAATGTGGTGCCAAGATCAAGTAACGAGGATCAGATATGTTCTACCGATTCTGCTCTGACTGTATTGCTACTTTTAAAAGCAAACTTGCTTCTCTGAATTTCTCAGACTTGCAGTTGAGGTGCCGTCCTTTACCTTGGTGACACTGGCATCAACATCATAGTCCCTTTAGACCTCAACTATTCTGCCCAGTCTCTCAACTGAACACAATTGAACACAATACTAAATTGCCCACAAGTATGCTTTAGCCTGGCTCTCATCTGGATAGAAGACCAAAGTAAAGACAGAGACTTGTTATTCCTCATCAAATGATGGTAGATAATTCTGTATATGAATCAAAGCAAAAAAACGCGGCAGTAAATAGAGACATTTGGGCTTCCCACATACAGAAATCCAGAGAAAGGCTTTGGAAGAGCTTCTAAAGGGGCACCAAGGGGAATTAGCAGGAGAATGGACAACCGGAGCAGGAGGTTTCAAAACAGTGTGTCAGCATAGTTGGAAATCTTAAGGACGAAGTACCACTCTTGGCTTAGTGTTCATTGCAGACTTTGGCAAGGACAACTATTGACTGAGGAAATAGCTCACATTCTTTGCCTCACTTAAGCAGTAACTAAAACATTAAAACAATGCTTTATTAAAAATAAAAAAAAGCACTGATCTTCTTTTACAGCTCAAGTAATTCCAACATGCAACGTTTCTGTGTAAAGCATCCAAAAAGCACATAAACCACTTGGATGCTTCCCAAAATCTCATCTCCCCATAGGTCTGCTTTGTCAGTGCAGCAGACAGCTGAACACTTAATCTGCTCCAGACTCTCCTGGCTGACAGAAACCATGATCGCAGCACATATCTGATGTAACGTACTTGAAAACACTGTCAGGTTTTTGCAGTTTTTTCCATTCTTGACTAAACCTCACTCCATTAGCACTGCTCTCCAGCCTGTGCTGTTAGAGGTTTGCTTTGTAACTGAGAGACAGTTACATAAAGCATTCCACAACTCTCTTCTTATAGCATCAGATGGGAGTTTATCTAAGGTGCTTAGTTTCTTAAATAATTAGGAACAGAATAGACTACAATGGAACAGCATAAAGGACTTTTAATGCCAGCGACCAATGCCAAAACCCCTCTAGAATATAAGGAGTGCTTGTGTTTTCACGGGACAGCTTGGTTTTATTTATTAACTCTAGGATTTTTTTCCTCAAGCCAACACTGATGTGTGATGATAATATGCAAAAAATCTACAAGCTAAAATCTTTCCAGGAAAGAGTTGTACAAGCTTCATGTATAAAGTTATTATTGATAGAATTAATCGTCAGTCCTGTTTTAAAATGTTCAGCTGGCACTGAATTCAGCAGGATCTGGAATGATGAGAGATTTACTCCCAGTATCCATTGCAAAACTGTTTTGAAATCCTTTTCACATTTTCTAAGAATAAAAGAGGGTACCAAACCTCTTCTATTTGCACCCATGTTCTGCTTTTGTTTTTTTTCAGGTCGCTGGAGTCTTGCATTGCTCCCTACCCTGCTCTCTCTCCTAGGTCTACGCGTCTTGACTGACCTCAATGCAAAATCAGAATCACCCTGTTCTTTTTCACTGCTTACCCCTTTATCATTGTTCTTACATGATTATGCCTGGGAACACAGAGATCTGGTTCTGTGCTTTTGTTATTGTTCTTTCTAATGGACAAAGGTCGTTTATTGCACTTTTCTATAGAGGAAGATCACCACATTTCTAAAACCAGGACTAAACTGATTAATAACCCTGATAATACTCCAAAATTACCAAAGCACAAAGGAGTCACTCTTTTTTTTAAAGGATGGAATAAAAATACTCATTTACAGACTTGAATCTGAAGTTACTAATAAATCTATTTAAATAAGGAAAAGAAAAAAAAAAAAAAGGAGTCCAGACAGAATGCCTCATTTCTTCATTGTTCACCAGTCTGCAATGGGTGAAATTATTCCTCATCTTAAAAAAAACGTCCTGGAAAACTTTCAGATGCCTCATGTTATTGCATCTGTATCACCACGTGACCCCACATCTTGGACTTGTTCTGTGTCACCTCACTTCAGAATGGTGCTGAAGTGCTGCAGAGCTCTGTAAGGTGACTGATGCTGTCGAATGGGTAAGCACCCTGAAAAGGTGTAACATAGAGGGAGTAACAGGGTGGCAAATTCACAGCATCTCTGTTTACGGGTTTGAGGATTTGCAGCTTGGAACTGGGAGCTGAAGTGCCCTGCTTCCAATCAAACACACAAACATGGGCTGACTTCTCTGTAAAATCAGTTCTGGTCAACTCTGGGTGTTAGGAGTGAAAGACAATGTGAAAAAGCTCCATGAAACTCATATCTCTGTAAGTTTCAGTGACACTGTTGAGACCAATTTTTTTGCAGGGTTCTGCAGCTGCTTGGAGTACAATGTGTGTGTGTATATATACAGTTCATCAGCTGCTTTTTCTCCATTTACAAGAAACAAACAAAAAAAAAATCAGGAAAATGTTTACTTGCTTGAAATCCCACTAATTCTTGTGAATGAGAAATTGTTTTGTTGAGACCTACCAAGCACTGGGCAACATTTATCCCAATAATGACAGCGAGCTCTGCTGCACAGCTAATGGTGTTTTGTGTTCTGCTAAGTTAAACTTGCTGTTAATATTCTTGCAGTATACTCAAAACAAATCTCTCAAACGTAAGTACGTTTGCTTTAGGATGAGAGCACTCCCCCTTATACTAACAGAGGGGTTTCCAGGCACAGAAGTGTTTTCTGGCGCGAATATCTACAACTCGAACCACCCTCATAACAACACCGTGGGGGAAGCCGAGGCCACGCCGCCGCGTGATGTACCTGCAGTCACAGCGGGAGCAACGGCACAAGAGCCAAGGCTAGAGGAACGCGTGATTTTGCCCTCGAGGCCACGACTCCCAGCCCGGGGCCGACGAGCCGAACGCCCACCGGCAGTAAACGCCCGCACGGCTTCCTCCGCGCCATCCACGTGACAAGGGAAAAAACCGAGTCGCTTATTTTCGGCTCCTGGATGCACCTGACCATCTGCGAGCGCACGAGCCGTGCGCTCTTACTGCGCCTGGCAGCCGCTCGTTCTCCGCGCCAACTTGTAAAAACGTCCGTCCTTCCCCCTTCTTCCCACCTTTGACTCGCCTCTCTCCGCGGGAACCGGCGCCGCACACCCCAGCTCTCGGGTCGCCGCCGCACGGCGCAGGAGCGCAGCTCCGCGGTCCCGCGCTGCCGCCGCGCGGTGGAGCAGCGCCGGCGAGCTGCGGATCTGCGCTCCGTCCGCCGTGAGGGCGGCGGCGGGAAGGGCGCGGAGCGGACGGCCGCGACTGCGATCCACAGCCAGGGGACCGGGACCGGCCAGCGTGGGCTCGTGAAAGGCTGTCCTGCCTGAGCAACCTCGTCTCCTTTGCGAGCAGGGGACGGGACAGGCTGTGGAGTAGTCTGTATGGACTTAAGCGAAGCCCTGGATTGCCTCCCACAGCGTTCTCCTGCAGAAGCTTGGACGAGTGCGCTCTTCGCTGGGTAGAAAACTGGCTGGGGGGCCGGGTCCCGAGAGTGGTGTTGAATGGGGTTACACCTGGGTGGGAGCCAGTCGCAAGTGGTGCTCCTCAGGCATCAGTACTGGATCTGGAACTGTTCAGTATCTTTACTGATGATTTGGATGGGGGAATTGAGCGCACTCCCGCTGTGTTTGCCGACAACAGCAAGCTGGGAGGAAGTGTGCATCTGCCTGGGGGTAGGAAGCCCTACAGAGGGATCAGGACTGGCTGGATTGCTGGGCTGAGGCCAACTGGATGAGCTTCGGCAAGATCAAGTGCTGAGTCCTGCATTTCGGTCACAAAAATCCTAAACGTCACTGCGGTTTTGGAGCAATGTGGCTGCAGAGGAAAAAATTTTGGTGTGTCAATTGACAGCCAGCTGAACACATCTATGATTCTAAGTTATTACTTGTTTGCCACTGCCAGGGACTTCAATTCAGCTGGTAATAGCAGAAGTAAAAACATTTCTTAGTAAATAAGTAATTTTAAAAAGCGCTCTGAAGTTGAACTTCAGTCTCAACTTTGCAGGAACAGCAAACAAATGTAGCATGCTTGTTAGCTGGTCATGTCAGTGGGACACAGAAACCAGCTGTGCATTAACACTGCAGCTATGGGTCCCTCACAGAAGCATTGTAGAGAAGGATTTATTAATCTGGAGGGCTCAGACCTCTAAAATGTAACTATTGCTATTGTGGGAATCAAATGGTGTTTCTGCATTACAATAAGATAAGAATTTTTTATTTCATGGCCTCCGCTGCCATAGTTCTTTCTGGGAGTCTTCTTTACTTGGAGGGGGTCTCTGATAGTTTGCATCACTTATCCTCTAGATGAACCTTCCCCAGGAATGCACGCTCAGTATATATGTAATATTTTGTCATACACAATGCAAGAATATCCTGCACGAGGTTGATCACATCTGAGAACAAGTGGTGAGATGCCCAGGGAAGCGCCTGAAGAGACACTAACAAGGCACCCTCCTCTCCCCCCGGTGCTCTTTGTTTAAGGAAGACTTTGAAGAAAATCACCATATCAATGCGACGGGAAGAGCACTGAGACATCTTGGAAACAACAGGATGGCTGCTGGCTGACACCAGGTGACACAGCAATTAACAGATGTAGACCGTGTTAAGATTGTGAACCTGGAGTACCCAGCCAATGGGGAGACAAGGTTCAAAAGCTGTCACTGCGTCCTTAGCGATGCTCCTGCTCGCGGGACGCCCGCCGTCGCAATCGCGAATAAAACCTGCTTTTATCATAGATACCGTCCTGACAAATTCTTCGGATATTTCCAACACTGTGATCCCCACATATTCATGTTGATCAGGAAATTTTGAAAAGGGTTTTTTTTTTTTTTAAGAATGTAAAATGACGTTCTCTTGAGAAGAGTGTGAGAAACTCCACTTTATTTTATTTTCCCATAAAAAGCCTCATCAACTTCATCTCTGCTTAATGTTAGTAAAATACATTTACCTTTGTAAACATATTTTGTTACTTTTGAAATGTCATGGCACTCTAAAACTTAACTGTTATATCTGTGCAGCTGTCCCCTAACTTGCAGTCTCAAAGAATTAAGTTAATTTTCTCAGAAATAAATATTTCCCATCAAAATGTTTACTGACAGTATATTCTGTTTCTTTCTCAGCTGAATCTTCTCCATGCCTTCCTGTGGCTTCACTCAAAGTTTATGTCCGATTCATTTGCAGTTACATCCTGTTTTGTTCTCCATATCCTGACGCAAATACCACGGCCGTTCTGGTTCCACAGATTTCTGCAAGTTTTACAGAACACCTGATGCTGACTTACGGAACAGACTCCATAACCACGAGGTAGTTGTAGAGCAGGTGTGTTTATTTGGCTGACCAAGGGAGGATAACTCCTTCCTAGCCTGCATACCGAAGGCAGGTAAACATCTCTATTGTAGAGGGAATACGTGCATATTTATGGTACAAGGAGTGGTTATTACAATTAATTCTAGAAATTCATTACAATATTCCATGTCTATTCTACACTCCAAACTACACCCCCATATTGTATAATGGCCCCATACTGTTTCCATTGTGCGTGCTCAACTGCTCTTACAGTTTTAACAGTATAACAGCCCTTTATTCAATGCCTGCAAAATATTTCACCTTTGAGCCAAGCAATATAATCCAAATCCTTTTAGAATGCTTTGTACTTGTGCCAACTTAGCACCAGTATTTGCAATGGTCTTCAAAGCTAAGTGTAAAAATATCCCAGAATGTGGGATAAATAGATTAACTTATCAATACCAAGCAAACATGTACTCTGTACCATAAATACATACATTCACTGAGCATTCCTGAAAGTTTTCTTCTAAATTAGTTTCACATGGGCCAGTGAAGCTCCTGCTCCTATTCTCCTGCAAATATCACCATTATTACACTGGTTTTTCTAGCACTTTTTAACTCAAACTCTCGTATTTCTTTGTATCATTTCACCTTACACCAGTTTGTTCAGCACTGCTACAGAAACTCCCTAACCCATGGGTGCCCAACTTTCTGGCTTGCCTGGCCTGCAGAGAGTGAAGAGGAATTGTCTTAGACAGCATAGAAAATATGTAATAGAGTTAATATAAGGAACAACACTTTTTTTTTTTTTTTTTTTTTTTTTTTTTTTACTATTTGTTTTTTACTAAAACTTAAAAACTTAAAAAAAACAAAACAAAACACCCAAAACCACAAACACCAAACTAGTGGAATATTTAATATTTGACTTTTTTTTTTTTTAACTTTTTTTTTGGTGAAACTAACACACATCTGGTTAGATTAATTGTTTGCAATTCCTAGTGAGTTCTCGAGCTGCTCATCAGAAAGTTTTGGTGAAATTTCACTCTTGGAATGGATTGGGTTGGAAGGGATCCTACAGATCACCCAGCCAACAGGTGCCCCCCCAGCGCAGGCTGCCCAGGGCCCCATCCAGCCTGGCCTTGAGCACTCCCATGGATGAGTCACCCGCAGCTCTCTGGGTGGCTGTCAGGGCCTCACCACCGTCTGAGGAAATAATTTCTTCTTAACATCAAACTTGATTTTCCTCTCCTTTAGTTTAAAGCCCTTATCCTATCACTATCAGAGCAGCTAAGCACTCGGTTCCTTTCCTGCTTATAAGCTCTCCACAGGTACTGGAAGGCTGCTGTGAGGTCTTCCCAGAGCCTTCTCTTCCCCAAGCTAAGCAAACCCAAATCCTTCACTCTTTCTGCATAGGAGAGGCACTCCAGCCCTCAGATCATCTCTGATCCTGTTCCAAGAGCTCTTCTTTCCAGTGCATGATGCCCCAGGCCCGGACACAGTGCTCCAGATGGGAGTTTACAACTTTTTGAAGAAATGAGGTAGCACAAGGAAAGAGGGACCAAACTAGCAGAAAGAGAAAATAATAACCACACAGCATAGCTCAGCAAAGGAGAAAATGTTCTCAACGTGCAAATTGCCTGTTAGGGCCAGAAACAAACTGTCAGCCCTCCGCTCTATTTCTTTAATCAGTGATATTCCTTGTTTTCTGTTGTATGTATGCATTACTGGCAAGCCTCTTGAGTTTAATCTTTTAAAGAAAGTGTATAAAAAGGAAAAATGATTATGCTACAGTGCATGTTTTTAATTAATGCTGAAAGGGACAGTTTTTGCTTTTAGTTGAATCTAAAAAATAGATTCCAGATTCTCAAAATGAAAGTGGATATTTTGCAAGCCTGCCTACAACAATTTACCAGAAAATCCCAATGATGAAACAGCAGGAAAATGATTTAGCCACACTTTCCACAACATTGAAAGGATAAGAGGAGGAAGTAGTGGTAATGTGGTATGCTGGACATAATGAAATTACACTGGGGTGCAAGAAAGCAAAATAAATCATCTGTCCATGGAGGTTTTCAAGAAAAGAGTAGACATGCTGAGGAACATGGTCAAGAGCTGTCCCAGCCATGGGTTGATGGGTGGACTCAATGATCTTAGTGGTCTTTCTAACCTTAAGGATTCTCTGACTCCATGATTCTTGTGAATATAGCACTATGAATTTATTTTATTTAAAGATAAGTCAAGCTTTTGGAGCCACGAAATATGGTTTAGTAGCTTGTGGTACTGGGAATGGGAGGGTGGTTGGACTAGATGATCTTGCAGGTCGTTTCCAACCTTGTGATTCTATGATTCTATGATTCTTTTCATTCCCAGAAGATACAAAGGGAGCTTCCTGGATGCTTTTCTGTCTACCAAGAGCCCTGAGGACAGCTTTCATAGTCAGCCACCTGCAGTGTTGTCTGAGCACCATGCTCGTGTCAATTCAGACTGTAGTTATCCCCTGATGACTGAAGTTACTGCTGCACAAGAACAAAGCCTGTATCTCTGAGTCTTAGCAGATTGCAGTGCATTAACTCCTAGTTTAGGAAGACTCATATGAAGCCTGCTAGAAACCATTTAGAGAAGCCAATCTTCTTCAGATTCTTCCCCCACGGCTTTTCACTTGGTGAAAAAGTTCCTCTAAATAAATTAAGACTGTTTCCTCTAGAAGGACATCACAGACATGAAACTTGCAGTGTCTGTGAAGCATTCTCTGTGCAAGGAGAAAAAAAATAACAGAAAATTTTTCCACCAGTGTGTCATAATTTGTTTTTCTGGGAGGTTCACCAAAAAAATTAAAAAAAAGGAGAAGAAACTTTGAGCATTAGCATTAGAGACAACAGCCTGACAGGCCCATTTTATCTCTTCAGTATGTTTCATGACAATAGGTATTATATGTAATTTAAAAGGTATATATTTTCAATCTGACCAAGTTAAAGTTTAGCTGAAAATTTCTTTGCTGGCTCTCTGCATCTGACTCTGCAGCCTGGAGAGAACAGGCACTCAAAGGAATGTATTTCTGTTCTAGATAACCCTATATCCTTACAAAGTCGTACTACGTAGACGTGAAGATGCTATATAAATAAACTATACAAATATGTATGTTCACAACAATGTATACTATTTATTATATCATATGGTATTTGAGCGTGGTCTTTTTGGTAGGAAGAAAGCCAGCTACTACTGATGCAAGTGCATGTATACCAGCCTGAGCAAACTGTGGAAATCCCCAGTTAGAAGGCAAAGATATTCTTATATATGTTCTTATATAAGAACTTGGTTGCTCAACCATGAATATACCCTTTTTTTTTCCCCCTCATCATTTTTATTACATTGCTGTGTGTGTCACTTCTTAATCAGGAAGTGACAACAGGCAGATCTCTGGAAACAAGCAGACTAAGCAAAAAAGCAAACAATTCAGGCAGTAATATTTTTCTCAGTAGTCGATTTGAATATTATAGGTATGATAAACTTTTTTGAAGAAGATAATCTCAAACGGGCTCTCCTTTATGCTTCTTGAGATAGATTTCATCTTCAATGACTTTCTTAACTGAATGTGTAGGTAGCTAACCAGACTCACCCCGAGTCCCTCATTTATATAGTAAGATCCACCAGACTGTAGCAAATGCTCAACACTTAACATACACAGCAGCTTAATAATGGCAGTCCCAGCATAAAAAGTGAGAAAAAAAACAAGCAAACAAACAACAGCAGACAACCCACCAACAGGATCCTGCAGTTCATTCTTTTTAGTGAAGATTTCTCATATTTTTTTCAAGAGGTCAGTGCTTGTAATGGTGTGGTTGAAACTCTTTAGTAGTTCATTTCTGTTCTTACAACTATGTTTTCTGTTATTTTGCAGAAAGGTCTTCCCTAACAAGAGTAAGTTGTGCTTACACAATCTGCCAGTTTTGACTTGGTTTAAGCAACTTGTAAAACAGCACCTTTTCCACATATCTTAACTTCAAAGAATGTCACTGCATAGTGCTACCAGATTTGCCAGTCAAGCAGTTCTTCAGGAGACCTGTTTAGGGGAGATGTTTTTAAATGTGTATTTTAATCATTCATTTTCAGATGCCACTTCCACCTGGATGACCAGATATTTTTGTTGAGAGTCTCCTACAGGTAATGCTTTGCTTTTTTACAAACTCCTGGGTTTCTAATGAACGTATTTACAAAGGGTTTTGATTTGGCAGCAACAGAATGAAAGCTAAATCTCATACTTCACCTCCTGATTACTGCAGGATCTGTTAAAACTTCAAGGGCTAATGTTTTCATTAATAACTTTGAAAGGATCAAAGTTTCGTAAGTAGACCTTTGCTCACAAAAGCGCTGTTTTCTCTTTAGGTGCTCTCTCTTCACACTGCTTACATGACTTATGGATTCTAGCCCAATTAAAAATGTTGTATGTTGATTGAGGCTTCTTTGAACTACACAGGGCAGTGACACTTGAGTTAAGACTGTTGAGAAATAAAGGTAAATTCTTTTTTTTTTTATACTTTGTGTTATTTGGCTGATTTCCATGAAAGAAAAGGAAGCACTCATCTCCTGGAGTGTTAGACTTGATTCCAGTTTGGTGTGCTAATGACCAAATTCAAAGAATATGAACTCAATAAGGTTGGTTTCAGCAGAGCAGTTTCACCATAAGGAGAGAACTGGAAGTCCATTGACGTTTACTGGAGCAATTCGCAGTTCTTTTTTCATGTCACTAAGTGCAAGAGGACTACAGGTAGACTTGATCATATAAACATTTAAAAGGAAGTCAACAGCAATTTGCATCTTTCAGATGCTTTTAAAGTATCTGTTGCTGAAGATTTGCAGGGGAAAAAGTGAAGTTCCACAGTGAAAAACTGTAAATGAAAGCCGGTGCATCTCCAGAAAAAGTACCACAGTCATAATGCCTTCACTGAGTTAAAGGAGAATGATGTAGGAAAGAAAAGCCTGACCTACTGACAAATATTTGTTACTGCTGAGCTTCACACAAAGACCCATTTAATGCTTGAAGAATGGAATGAGGGGATGAGGAGGTGATGGGATACATTAATTTGAAGACAGGATGATATAAAAAGAAACAGGTGGAAGAAGTGTAGGATTATGACTGAAATAGGGGAATGGAGAGGAGTAAGTGAAGGATGACTGCAAAAGAAAAAGGTGAAAGAACAGGGATAAAATATGGTCTTCCAGCTAGATCTGGTGTTCATACTCAAAGATTGTGTGCTGATCTCCATAGAAGGAAAACTGGGGAGAATAAATCAGGAAGAAGGGCCACAAAGTGACTAAGATGATACAGCGGTCAGTAAAAATGCAGAGGCCTCATCCTGTTGCCTCATCCCTCATGTGCTATAGGTTTCTGTAGGAATAGTTTATGGGCTCCACCCATTTTTTTTAGGGCTGCTGACTGAAAATCCTCACTTGAACACCAACCCCCCCTCCCCCCCTCCCTGTTTACTAAAGGCAGATGGCATCTAGAACAGTATTCTAATCTTCCAGTGAACAAGAAAATGCAGAATTCTTTCTTAATTTGGGACCATAGTAAGTCTCACTGATTTGAAACTTAATTTGGCCTTACATTGGTATAAAAATGTTGATACTGAAGATCTTGGATTTTTTAAAATTCATTGCTTGATTTCTTTGCTTACATTTTCATGGTTCAGCATTGTGAAGTAGAAAAACACAACGCTCAGGGTCAAGCAAATTGAAGATCCTGCATTTTGCTTTGTATTCACAAAGGCTGTGAAAGTCTGCTCACATTGTCCTATATCCCTGTGTTACATGCTGACAGGAAGGTCACCCATCCAGGCCTCTGTCATTTCGCCATGAGCCTTAGTGGAACTCTTTAGGTATGTAGTTAATCTGGAGCTTTAGTGTTTCTCTACCCTGTTTTAATAGTGCATAATATGTCATGATCCAAAACCAATCATAAACTCTTGGGATGTGGACTAGTGTGCCCTTCCACAAAGCTCTTAATACTCTGTTGTTCACAATTACAGGTACTATACATTTTATGGTACTTGTTTAAGATTCCACTATTAAAAAAAAAAGGTGCTGAAAAGCATTAATAAATTTATGTGGTGCCCTTAATCAGCAGAGCTGCTGTCACTGTTAATTTCCTAGAACCTAACTGCAGCCAGTAGTTGTGATACTTTTGTTTAGTCATTTCCATAATGACAGATTGAGCTCATGGCTGTTTTCCAAAACAGCATGGCATAAATGTTTGAAGAAATAATTGTCTTTAAACAAAAGAATAAAAGAAATGGGAAGCTGTAGTTTATCTGTAAATTCATGGCATGGATAGCACGATGTTGTGTCTTGATGTATCACCTTAGAATGGGCAAGTTATGTGCCTGATTGGAGTTATTTTCTGAAGCAACCAGTTATATCATCATTGGCTATACACGGGCACTCCAGTGTAGTTTTGTGAAGGTGAAATAATGAACACTTGAATCCTACCAACCTGAACCATAACAAACATGTAAGTACTCATGTCTCACAAGAGTTCTTAAACACACAAGGAGCAAAAAAAATGGCACCTCAGAACCTACATTTCCAAAAATTATTCTGTACAGAACTGGCATAACGAGATTGAGAAATGATGGGAACTCTGCCATCCACTGAGTGCAGAATTCACTGAATATGCGTCAGAGCCCTTGGTATTTGGGTCATCTGAATGCTTCAGCCTCCTGATGCTGTCTCATTCTTCTGTTGTGCATCCTTGCTCTATTAATACTTTGTCTTATGCTGTGGCCCTCCTTCAATGCTGCTACTATTAAAGCTCCCATTTTATTTTACATTTAAATGCAACTAGATTCATTCTGATTATTAGGTGTGCCCTAAACCACAGTACTCTTTTGATATCATCATTATTCCTACTTTCCGGATGTTAATCATGGAATCATGGAATGGCTCGGGTTGGGAGGGACCTCGAGGATCATGAATCTCCAACCCCCTGCCACATGCAGGGCCACCAACCTCCACGCTTAATGCTACACCAGGCTGCCCAGGGCCCCATCCTTGAACACCTCCAGGGATGGACGGGGCATCACAGCCTCTCTGGGCAGCTGTTCCAGCACCTCACCACTCTCATACTAAAGAACTTCCCCCTGACATCCAACCTCAATCTCCCCTCCTTCAACTTCCCCTTGTCCTGCTGTCATCTCCCCTTTCACAGAGTTGCCTCCCCTCCTGTTTGTAGGTCCCCTTTAGGTACTGAAGGCTGCAATGAGGTCACCCCGCAGCCTTCTTCTCTCCAGGCTGAACAAGCCCAGCTCCTTCAGCCTGTCTTTATAGTGGAGGTGCTGCAGCACTCTGATCATCTTTGTGGCCTTCTCTGGACTGTCTCTAACAGCTCCCTGTCTTTCCTGTATTGGGGGTTCCAGACCTTTTTTGGTTAAGACCAAATGTGTTTGCATTTTTTTACATTGTTTTAGCTTGCAAGTGAACCACAAAGCCGAGTTCAGACGGAAGAAGCAGGTGCTCTGTTCTTTCGTGCACTGCTATGAATAGGTTTTAAAATATATTCTTTGGGCACTTTGAATAGCTTATAAGTTTTTTTCACCATCTGCTCCTTGAAATCTCAAAACTTCTGTTTCTGCCTTTCAATATGAACAAATTGAAAAATATGACCAATAGTTGAAATACTGAACTTAATTCTTGCAGTTAGTCAGATTCTATGTGCATTTCCACTCATGTAATGATTGCATTCACTCAGTGAATATGGAATCCTGCAATCATGTTATTGCTCTCCAGATTACCTCCTTGTTCATTCTTGTTCCCTCCTGCATATGGTTCAGGATCTCGCTATCTTTCCCTGTCCTTGATATCAGTGCATAGTCATTAGGTCTATCATATCAATTAGTCCTTGCTGGAGGGCTTTATTTTGGGCATTTTACCCAATTCAAAACAAAATACAACAACAACAACAACAACAACAACAAAACAACCTACTTCTCACAGTCAAACTGATTTTTTTTCAATTTTTTTCTCTAAATACTGAATAGGATGTGTTCCTTGCCCAGTATTTATAAATTTCCAGAATATGTGAGAGACTTTAAATTTCCCTGGCTAAATTAAGTGTAGGTAAAACAGTAGTAAATTTCCTTATCAATTAACATGTTCAGTAGTAGCAAGAAATGTTTAATTAATACACATCTGCACTAGAGATTGTCCTATCTGTTTCTGGTTTCTCCAAATATGGATAAAAGTTTTGTTTTAGAGTTGGTGTTTTTTTAAACTGAAAACAATACTGGTGAGAAGTAATCCAACGTGGAACTGTTCCAGCATTCTACTTCCCCAGCATGTGACATTCTAAGAATACAGAAGTAACTCAGACTGCTTGTGTTAAATAACTTGTTTTAAATTAAGTCCTTTGAATTCTATGTAAAACTTTCCCTGAGAAGTTTCTTTAATTAATTGTAAGGACTTTTACCAGCAGTGATTCTGCAATAGTAGAGTGTGGGCCTGATAAGCTAGTACCCTTAATAAGGGAAAACAATATTAATGAGTGCCTGATAAAAGTGTAAAAGATACAATGAAGATATTGTTAATATTGAAGTCAAGGAGAAAGTGGGTCCTGTGTCTGAAGCACCTCGCTGCATTTTCCACATTCTACAGGACTTTTTTTGCCTGTTCACCTGTATCTCTCTCCCTTGTATTAATTTCACTTTCAGAAGGGTGTGCTGAACAGAGAAAGTTGGTGCTGTTTGGACAGCTTCAGCTTTCAGGAAATAACTCGCTGTGCTTGAAAGCACGCTCACACTTCCCACTCACAGTGTGCTTCCTCTCAAGCCCCAGAGTGCTAGCCACATGATTTTAGATAAAAGGGACTTTCCCAGCATCATAGGAGGATTAGGTAATTGTTAATGATTTTTCCCTTCTCTGCTTGGGGGTGAAAGTTTGGCCCAAATCCACAGGTGGTCTCCAATGAAGCTGTTTGTAAGGCGGGCTATACATAAAGGCACTCTGCATGAAGTGTCAAGTTTGTGGTCAACCAAATGTGGTCAACCAAAATGTCTGCTTTGTCCTAAAGTCTCTACTGCTTGCCTAGCAATCCCAGCTCTCAGTATCAAAGCCTAGCAGGAGCACAATTAGGCCTTACAAAGTTGTCACTAAACTTGAGGTTTTCTGGATCTTTGACATTTTCTAGCCAAGCCTCCTGCTCAAGGCAGGAGTACTGGCAGTGCTCAGTCAGATCAGCAGTTGCTTTGCCCAGATGAATCCAGAAAATCTTACAGGACAGAGATGCTAAGGCCTGAGTGCTCCATTCCAGTGCTGCATTACCCACTTGGTGGAAAAGCTTGTTCTGGTTTAAACCTCAGAAGTAGAAACACCTTCCTCTGCCACTGGTGGCAAACTGCCCCTATGGAGAAGAATTTAACTCTTCAAAACTGATCTTCAAGTAGTTGTAGACTTGCAGTAGACCACCACTTAACCTCCTCCTTTGCCTAAGACTAGCTCTTTCAACCTGCTCTTCTATGCTCGTGTGCTCTTGGGCCACAGACAATCTAGGTACTGCCCACTACATTCTCTCTGATTTCTCAACGTATTTATTTGAACCATTTTTTGTGTACTGAAGCACAATGGATTCTCTTCCTATGACTGTACTTTTAATAATAGTCCTGTATACAATTTGCTCCATCATGATGAGAAGCATGCTGTTGGCTCATCATCAGTGTAGTTTCCAGTGTAGCTCCCAAACCTCCTTCAGCAGGGCTGTTTTCCAGCCAGTTCACCTTTATTCCTTTGCAAATGAACATCACCTCTATGCTTACCAATCCCCTAACAAGATAATGGCAGTTTCCATCCTGCTTTAAGATCATTGACTTACAGTGCTTAAGGGGATTCTATACCTGGGATATCGCTTTGATCGACTGCAGAGATGATTGTTGGCTCCAAACACATCTATGATTGGACCTGGTACAATACAGTATTTTTCAGTGCTATATAATCTTTCTTTTCCCTCTGGGGTTCCTCAGTGTGGGGGGAAAAAAAGCAAAAATTTGACCTCTTTTTTTTCTGTCTCATTAATTACAGACAGCTAACAAATCAGTCCAAGCAAACACATCGGCAGTCACCAAGGAGTTACAGTGCTATGTCCTACCAGGAAATTTTAGATGTTTGCTGGCAGCCAATGAAAGGCGAGATAACAATGCTGCTGACTCATGAACAGGAAAGCTCCAACTGCATTCGTAGCAGGCTCACATCTGCAGCAGTATCACTACAACACTGGTCGTCTTTATGCTGGTATTTCTAAAGGTAAGTTGCTGTTTGCTTCCAATTTCTTCCTTTTGGGCATTTGAATATTAGTTTAACTTAGAAGAGTTTCTCACATGCTAAGAAAAATGTCTTCACTGTAAATTACTTTTTAGAGTTATCTTTAAAGTTAGAAACTTGATATAAATATAGGAAATAAGAAAATATTAGGAAAAACTTCTCTGAAAGAGCAGTGATGCAGTGGCACAGCTGCCCAGGGATGGGGGGAGTCACCGTCCCCAGGAGTGTCCCAGAGCCATGGGGATGTGGCACTGAGCGACGTGGGCCGTGGGCACGGTGGGGGTGGGCTGAGATTGGACCTGGGGATGTGAGAAGTCTTCTCCAGCCTTACTGATTCGGTGATTGTATGAAATGGCTTTATAGTCATCTCCCTCCTGCCCCTAACCTCTCAGGAGACGACGACAAAGTTTTTAAATAATGCAAAAAGCTTGGAAAAAAATCATAAAAAACAAACAAAAAAAAAAACCAAAAACAAAAACCCCAAAACATTTTGTTATTTGATAATGAGATTTGAATTGGATCTAAGAAGAAAAACGTTCAGAAGAGCAGAACTGTTGGAAAAAATACCGAACTTATCACCTGGGAGTTAGAGTGAGACTTTGTTGTCTGTAACTTCCTTTAACAGTACCGTATTACATCATTAGTCCCCCCAACTATTGTAGCAGCCTTACTAGAGCCTGGATAAATAACGGAACTCTCATTTTAGATGCTAAAACCAAATCAGTCTGAGTTCAGGTGTGGAAGCAGATGTGCAAATCCAAAGAGAGGAACAATATTCTTCAATGCGATGTGGTTTGTAACAGACTGAACTGGTTTTCATTTTGTTTGCACAAATCACTAGATAAATTGCATTTTGCAAATAAAAAACAGGAGCTGCTGATAGCTTTTCTTTTTATCTAAATTGTGAATTAGCAGTAGCTTAAAAACTGTTACAGCTTTACTTGATTCCATTTCAAGTAGAAACATTCTGGAATGATTTAGGTCCCATATTCATTGTACAGGCTTCTTTGTACTATGTTTGGAGTTCTTAGTAAATTATTTTGATTATTTACAAGTTTATTTGTTTTATTACAGAGCAATATGAGACAGATTTTTTTTTCCTGTCAGCCTTCTGACTGCCTCATTTTTACTCAGGGTTTGTAGATTTGCATGGTTTTTCTCTGCAGTTTAAGGGATAACTGGCTTATCTGGAAACTTACATTAATTCAGAGAAACCTTTTCTAAGTTTATGAGACTACTAACGTGTCTTCCAGAGTCATGTCTAAGTGGAATGTCTAAGGTAGTCATTGCTTTCAAATTACAATAATTTTAAAAAGTAAGTGGTTCAACCGTGCTGTCATTAAAATCAAACAGTGTTGAAGCTGAGCTGGCCAACCAGCTGCTGTACTTTTATTTACATTTTGATTGTAGTTAGATGAGATATTGAATAATTGCCCATTTTTTCATGAGAATCAGCGAAACTCTTTCTTTCTGGCATTTAACTGTTAGATATTTAACTGTTAGATACTAATTCTTTGTCTACATAATTCAGTATCATTTTAAAACATATTATTAATAATAACTATATATTTCAAATGATCAGGTAGAAACAATAAGCAATTATTTAGCACCTCACAGCCCTGGATGGCAAGTTATGTCTTGAGCACTCTTCTGCAGTTAAGTGTAATTTTCCTGTATTTGTAAGGAAGATCTGACACTGAGTGGTGAAGGGAAGGCTTTAGGGTTGGGATAGGGTTGTTCAGTGTGTAAGAGGTGGCACAATGCCACTATGCTTTGGCAGCAGTGAAAACAGGCCTAAGAACTTTTTTGTCATTCTTTTCCCCAAATCAGCCTGTAATAGCCCAGGAGGGTTTGATTGCTTTACCTCAGACAGGACAGGCTCAGGTTTTGCACTGAAAGCCTTTCGTATTTCATGGAACACTCGCATCTCTGTGAAGCTGCTGACCAGCAAGAACACTACAGAGCAGTATGTACCTCATTGACCATGCAGTGATGGTACCAGCACCAATCATGGTGTGCTCAGGTTCATCCAGTCCCTAAACACCTCTCCTTCCTAGAAATCCCCACTCAAGAGGCAGCTTGGAGGCAGTTATATTGAGAAACAAACTCTACATTTTTTTTTTTCTCTTCAAAATTTATAGAAGCTGAGCTTATTCCTGAAGTCATTATGTCTACTGTAATGATGTCTGCAGACTCTGACCAGTGATATTCGGCATGCCATGTATGGTGTAACTTTTTCTGGAGGACCCTGAAGAGATTTCAGTTGAAGCTTGTCTAAACCAGCAAGTCCATGGGAAGGAGCAGAGCGATAGGATGAGAGAGGGATATAAGTCAGGGTTACAGGGCAGGAGATGTGCGTACATGCACAAGTTACAACACCAAACCACAGTAGCTGTTGGGCTCCACCTAGCCACTGCAGAATTCCATGTGGTGACAGAGGCACAGAAAGATTCCAAGAATAACCCTAAGATACTGTTGATGAGGCAAGATGAAGGTATTTTAGGGAGTGCACTGACTCTGTTTGTCAGAGATAATGATGTGCAACAATGATCTAGTTAAAACTACTTAGCTGAGAATATTGCAATTATAAGTTTCTGAGGACAGTATGGGGAAAAGCTTGATTTTTAAAATCCAGCATTTCACATCTTTCTCCTCCCTTTGAATTCCAAATCCTGCTTCAGATGGTGTTCTTACGTTCATATAATCATGGAATCACAGAATGTTTGTGTTGTAAGGATATTAAAGCCCACCTAGTTCCCCACCCCCACCTGGCCCTGACCACCTCCAGGGATGGGGCACCCTTGGTTCTCTAGGCAGTAATGCCAGTGCCTCACCGCCCTCTGAGTAAAGAATTTCCTTCTAACATCTAATCTAAATCTCCCTCTGTTAGTTTAAAGCGATTCCCCCTTGTCCTACCATTGCCAGACCGTGTAACAAGTCAGACTCTTTCTTGCTTATAAGCTCCCTTCCAGAACCAGAAGGCCAATGTGAGGTCTTCCTGGAGCCTTCTCTTCCCCAGGTAAACAAACCCAACTCCCTCACCCTTTCCTCACATCAGAGCTGCTCCAGCCCTCTGCCCATCTCAGTGCCCTCCTCTGGACTCCAAGAGTTCCACATCCTTCCTGTGCTGGACGCAGCGCTGCAGATGGGGCCTCACAAGGGCAGAGGAGAGGGACACAGCCTCCTCTCTCTCCCTGCTGCCGTCCCCATTAATGCATCCAGAGTTCTTTCACGTTATGTTAAAATGTGAAAGAACACATGGTATTGCTTAATTTTCTTACGGTTGTTTGGAAGATGATATAGTACTGGTTTTAGTGGTAGAATTGTATTAGCCTGTATTCAGCCACATAGTTCTCTCTCATTTCCACAGTCTCCATGATCCCATCTCTAGCTGAAATTTCCTGCAGTCTAAACTGCCACTCACTTCTGTTATATTTTACAGGGAATGGAAGTTGCTGCTTCAGGATACAGCAAATATCAGATGCTGTAAGTCTGAACATCTCCTGCCTTCTCTTGGGATTTACCTCTACCAGGGACTTTGGGGGTGGTGATTGAGGATCAGTGGATTTCTTCACTCACTCATCCATGAGGTATGTAAGGTCTTTTGTGACAAAACTAACTACAAGCTAACCCAAAAGAGAACAACCAGCATGTAAATTACGGACAATAATCACAGTTGCAGTCAGTCTGCTATTTGAATCAGTCTTGTATTTTTGTTTACTGTCAAATGAAAGTGTGAATAGTAACAGTTTCACCGTACACAAACCTGTACTTTGTGTTTCTCAGCATCAACTGTACCCAGATCTTCCGTTTCTGTCACTCATAAGGATCCTGTCAGTTGTAGCTGAAGGGCTGCATTACCTACACAGCCTCCAGCCTGCTGTCTGCTACTGCAGCCTGAAACCTTCCAACATCTTTTTGGATGCACAGTGCCGAGCCAAGGTGGGAACACACTTGAGAACTATAAACAGTGCAATTCGTCTGCCATTTTCATAGAGACTAGATTTGCACAGCAAGAGTGGAGGCTTATTGTCATTCATTTCCAACTTGTAAATCTTTTTTAATTTTAGATGCTTAGATATAACCCAGTGCATGAGATAGGTGTGTATCTAGACAGCAGCGCAGTAAAGAAACCAAAGGATTGTATGTGAAATAATGCTTTGGTGCATGTAAACTACGTGTACATCCATCATACATTAATATTTTCCTAGGTAGCATTTAAGTAAAAGCACATTTTATGTGGAAACCTGGCAGAAGAGGGAGTAAAACACTGTGTGGTTCAGATATGAGTTTATCATAGAATTGCTTCTTCCCCTACAGGTTGCTTTGCTTCTAACTCATCTGTAGTCTGTTTTCTCCCTTCTGGTAGATTCTTTGCTTCTGCCTCTAGTCTAGAGACCGAGGGGTTTTTAATCAAATAACTGTTTTAGATCATCTGAGTTGTAGATTATGCACATACATCACGGTATCACCAGAATACCTCCTAGGACATTAGGAAAGAAAAAAATACTAGGAGCTCCAGCAAAATTTGCTGGAAGTAAAGAAACACAGTGGGTCAGAATCAAGGTTTTGATAGGTTAACTGTCTGATATGCTGGTGAGTACCTAATGTAATGTCTTGCTTTTTCAGTTGCTATTTAGATTAGTTGAAAACAAAACAGAAGTGATGGAGAAAGGAGAACAGAATGCTCTGAAGTTCACAAAAGCAACTGTAGTTAACAAAAAACTTGTAATCCTTATGAATCCTATTGAAATAACATCTAACTTGATTTATCTACCTTGATTTATTTTATAAGAGCTGTTCAGTTCAAAACAAAGCTTAATAATGCAAGAGAAAGAAGCTCTTCGGATTAAGAATTATTTGGATAGACTTAGGAAAACTCCTTTATTAAATCAAGAAATGTGCTCTTTGAAATGATGGGAACATAAATATTGATTCTGAACTAATCAATATGATTTTTTTTTTTAATTTCAGTTTTGGTATATTGTGCTGGGAGAGCATAGGCAGACAGAAACCCTTTGAAGGTATTTTTCTATTGCTCACATCTGATTTTTATTGCAGTGGCGTTTCCTACAAATTCTTTTACTGTAGAGAAATGACGACACCAACAGCATTGCCTGTTCAAACAGGCCTCTGCCTTTTGTTACAGTTAGAGCACAGTTTGTATAAAGCATGATGTAACAATTGCCACAGTCTAAGAATGATCCCCCATCCATAGTGGTGGGCGCCAAAGAAAGACTTTGTTGCTATTGGCTCAGTTCTGTATGACAAAGCTGATTGAAGGTCTTCTGCATTTTGCAGGCTGAGAAGTGCAATAAAAACACTGTGTAGAACAGTAGGGTGCTATTCACACAGCTTTCACCACTGTCATCTCGTGGCTGCACCTCTTCTTAGCACTGATACACACTGCGAGGCTTTATGTAGAACTGCATCTATTATTGAGAAATAATAAATACACGTATATCTGCGGTATTAATTTGACTTATTGTTTGTACAGAGCTCTTTGTCCAGAAGTGGCATGTGGCAAAAGGTGGCTATGGTCATTTCAAACACCAGCGCATCTACTAACAAGAGCATAAATTTATTTTTACTTTTGCCTTAAAAACAGTCTTTGCTTTAACACATGTGAAATAATTTATGCTAAATATTGTTTTAAGAGCACAGGATCTTTGGTATTTATTGCCTACTGGCATATATTTGGTATTTATTTATTTCCTACATGCTGCAGGACAAACAGCCCCACTGGGAGCTTTGACAGGGATCTGTAACAGCTTACAGCCTGCCAATTCAGAGAAGTTTATATCAAGCAATTTGCCCAGGAGGAACAGACTGCTCCACTTTGTTGCTGTGTGCTGTCATCAAGAACGAGATTACAGGCCACGTGCTGCAGGTAGCATTCAGGATTTACTTTCTTTGTAGGGTTTGTGATGGAGATAGTCTTGCTGGGCAGATTTCTCTGGCACTCTAAATCGATGGCATACCAACTGAAGTGGAAGGCAAACAGCCTTCAGATTATCGTCAGAGTGCTGTAGAGTTTTTTCAGCTTTTTACAAAAGTAGGAAACCAAGACTGTTTAGTATAATGTAGTAAATAAAAACATAAAAATAGCCAGCTAAATGAGGGTATATTATTATTAGCTCATGTATTATTTTAACAAAGATTGACCTGTCTTAAGCATTTATGTCCATTGCATAAGCAGTTCCATTCGAGGTGTGCTAACAGTTCCACTAACATCAATGGTGTGGTTATCCTAAAAAAAATACACACAAAACCAAACAATGAACCAGACAAAAAACAGCCAAGAAATTGTGATATTTGAAGCCTAGTATATAAATTGATTCTTCCAAAAGTCGTATGTAATCCTTCTGCAAGTGCATGTCTGTATCGACATCTGTAAGAAACACTGATTTTGAGTGAATGATCTTCAACAACACATTCATAAAGAAAACCAAAGGTTGTATGAGGTAGAAGCTGTATTTAAACTGATCTAATTTAGTTCATTTGGCTGCTCAGCAAAACAGTGAAGTTAATATTCAGTTGCATAATTAATGAAGTTTATTGCAAATATCGATGCCTAAATACATACAACGATGCCTAAATACATGCAACATGGTACATCTATAATGCTTTATCCCTCCTACAGAAAGTGCGGACCTTCTAAATGGGGTTTTGATGATTATAAGTAAGAAGGAAATTTCCACCGCAGTCTACAATCTGATGCATGCAAAGGTGTGTGCAAAATTAAGTTTTGTTACTTGATTTTTTGATTGCAATCTTTGCAGTCCAAAACAGAAGATCTTTTGAACTTATTGCTTTAGTGGACATGCTGGAGAGTACCCTTTGGCACCTCAAGTTCATTCAGGAATTGTAGAAAATACATACTGTGAGCTATTCTGGCTGGTCCCCTCTAGAAACCTCATCAGTTGCTACCTGAGGTCACAAGAACAGTAATGTCTTTTTGGTCACAAGCTATAATCAAATACAGCTTGCTATCTCTCTGTTTGCATGCATGTCTGCATTTATTATATATTATTACATAATGTATAATGTATATAATATTACATGTTACATTATACATGTAAAATATACATAATATTATATATTATATACATTATTGCCACAGGAAACCTGGCACAAATCTGACTGCCATAAATGCAGCTATATCTATCAAACTTTGATAGACATAGTGAGGAAACTACATGGGCATGTTTCAGCCCTTGAACAAGTGTTCTGACTCCATTTGACCATGCAAAACCCATTCTGTGTGGTTGGTTCTGTTGCTGTGTTTATGTGAGCTCCCAAGTTAAGGCATACCAGATTATTTTTATATGTTGCAATCATATTCTGCAATTATAAAATAGATTTGCATGACACTTTAATGGTTGGCACAGTTATGGTCCAAGTCATTTTATTACTCCTGAAGCTTATAGAATATTTGGCAATACATCTCTAAAAAATTTAGCACTTCAGTCCTCTTTGAGTAAGGTTTTATTTTTCTATTTGCTAAATCAAAAACAATCATTATTATTGTTTAAATAACTGGACAGACAACAGTTCAAAATGACTGAAATAGCTACCAGAGATATTTAAAATGGATTAATTCATAAGTGCTGAAGGGCAATGAGTTGAACCAATCTGCTGCAGATGTACAAAATGGAAAAAAGTTTTAAGTATCGACGTATCCTTATAGCAGACATCATTTGGTATCCTAAACACAGGATGCTCCTGCTGTGTGTATACTTGAAGGACATGTTATAGCTAGCCCAATATATGTATGTACAGGGCTGCTCTCCCCTTCTAGTGCATAACGCAAAAACTAGACTTAAAATTGAAATGAGAGAAGCAGTAATGGAGTAAAGTCAGGTTCTACACCCACTTACATGCTAAAATGCAAAGTTGCTACCAAGTTGTTCAATGCAGTTCACTATTATCCTGCATCAGCATGCCCAACAGTATGACATACTTGACATCCTTGTAAATTGTCAGTGTCAGTGTAAGTTCTTGCTCTGTAATTGAGCAAGCATTCTGCATTCTTACTAGTGCTCCTGTACTGTTTTTTTTTTCCCAGGAGACAGCAATTAATGCATGCAGAGGTTCAGAAGTATACACTTTGCAGACAGGCCTACAGAACTCAGAGGTAAGTACATGGCATTTATTTGAGAATCTTACAAGAGTCTTCTTGCTTCTCCTGCCAGAGCTGACACTGCATAATATAAACACAGTAGGGCAGGATGTCCCCTTTATTTTGTCACTAACAAGGACATCTACAACTGGTTAAGCAACAAAACCCTGTTTTACCCTCCTACAAGCAGCAGACTCTGTTGCTTTTGCAGAAAGACTCTCCACTTGAAAGCCACTTTGAACCTCTCCTTCATGAGGATGTCCCAGTGAAATGGCAAAAACCTGGTTTTCCTTGTGCTGTTTTCAAAATGGCAGCTGGAAACAAAGACCAAAAAAAGCTTGAATTCTAGCATATACAGCTCCTTTTCTTGAAGAATAAGGATAACTGCTCTGTGATCACTCTGCAGCATACCACTAACAACCATTTTCAAAGTGATATTGGCACTTGCTGCAGGCCTGCCAATACCGAAAGGGCCAAAGCTCATGTACCTGGATAAGAGCGAACTTTAGCTAGACAATTTGTGTTCTGTGAATGGTCATGGCTGCTGGCAGCACAAGCTGCAGAATCAATTTAGGACAGCCATAACACCTTGGACAGTTAGCCTACAGGTCTGTGCTGCCACAGCAGCCTGGGCGACTAGCTAAAGTTGAATTAGTTTGTCTACAGGCTGAACAACTGCCTGCCCACCCTTCCCAGAACTGTGATACAGCCTTGAATTCCAAGAAATAACTGCTTGCAAACAGTTTTGAAAGAAAGTTTCCAAGATAATTCTCCATTTTAATTTTTTTCAGGTCATCTGTCAACAAAAACTCACCCAAGTAATGAGCAAGAAAGTCCCTCCTGTAGTACCAAGTTCGTCACGTGTTCTACTTGGTAGCAGTACAAATATTGCAGGAAGCGAAAATATTCTTGAGGCTGATCTGACAGGTCCTATCACACAGCACTCAACAAAGAAAGGTCTCTGCCTGCAAACATGTTCAGCTCCAACTATATCAAGGAAAATTACTACTATTTGTTCCACATACACATGTATTTTTCAAGTGCAGTTGTCCCTTTTTAGAGCTTTGCTCTCTACTGGTATCATTCAAAGCATGAGCTCACTGCAGAAGTGTTTTTTCAGTATTCCTCATTCCTTTGGAAACAGAAGTTGAGCCACAGGAAATCAATTCACTTATAGTAACACCTGCACTCCCAAGCATTTTACTTCTTATCAATAGCTGCCAGACTTAGAATAGAATTTTCTGGAACTTAAAAAACAAATCCACATAGAATTCCTGAAAAACACAGAAGCATGTTATAGTATATGCCAAAATCTTCCCAGGAATAGTGTCCTATTATCAACTGCCCAAAGAACAGCTAGTAATAAAAAGGTGCTCTCAAGTTAGTCAGATGATACACTTTATGTTCTGTTGCTGTTCAATGTAAGGGTCTCATCTTGTTTATTTTAAACTTTTTTTTTTTAGATTACCCACACTCTGACAAAAGAAAGCCTTTTTGTACTCTGCCCTTATCTGGTCCAACTGCAGGCAGAGAAAACTGTCAGCATAAGGATCCACCACGGGCAGTCCACAGTCCACAAACCGTGCAACCTGAACAACCTGGAAGTGGACTCTTACCAGTCACTGGTTGTTTCTCCCAGACCAGATCTTATTCAGTGGTTACATTGTTCAGAGATGTACAGAAATAGATAATCTTTTTCTGAATTATCTAGCATGATGTCTACTGTAGTTTAGTGCAAAAACTCTTCAGACAGTGCTGTGTCACTGTAGTACTGCTGTATGGCCCTCATGTTTTCAGAAAACCAGGCACTGCCCATTGAGAACACTGGCTTGTTCTTTCCTTGGATCATATTCAGGTTGAGAATGAGCCTGAAAAGATTGTAGTAAAAACACAGAAATTGTGTCACATCATTAATTGCTTATTAAAGTATGGGCATCTTTTTTCTTTTGTGGTTTTAAGCTGAGTATTTGATACAGCTAACAAGTGCTACTGACCGTAGAAAAGGGTGATGAAGAGAACAGGATAACTACTTATTTCCTTCCTTACGTGGTCTCAGATTTTGCTACTGAGCTGGAAACTGATCATAGGAAAGCTTCTGACTTGTGAAGCCTGTCTCTACCTGCAGGTGAAAAGCTCAGTTTCTTGCTTTGCTTGATTGATTGTTTCAAATTGGCCAATTCCTGCATCTGGTTGCTCATTTATTTCAATTTACTACTCAGTGATGGCATAATTTCAGGATAAAGCAGTAGAGTAGTATGTGCAGGAAAAGTTCATGTCAGAACCCTACTGTCAGCACTCTGAAATCAGAATGAGAGAGGCACATTCTCCACAGTAACGATGGTCTTTGGTTATTAGTTTTCTCTTGATTTACACTACTTAACTGTACAATTAAAACCTGAATGTCAGCACTGAATACTCTGAGAGGTACGAGCATCATCAGTTAGTGAAGAGGTAGAACCCAGTGCTCTTGATCACTTTTGCCAAAAATATTAGTTTTGCTATTAGTTTGGCTTTGATATATATTCATGTTCCTGATTTCACAACACATTTCAAACAGACTTACTGTTCTGGACTACCTGTTAGCTGTTCTTCCATGTTCTACAAGACAGCATTTTCTCAATGATGTAGAGACAAACTGCTCTGCACAAGGTTTGTTCATGCTAGGAGGAATGAATGCTAGGATGAAATTCTCCCCTTACACAATCCAAGCAGTCTTTAGAAACACTGATTTTCTGGAATAGGATCCTCATGATTTTTGATGGGAATTCATTGTACTACTTGTGAACAAAGGACACAGACTAACTCTTCCTTTCTTCTTTCTCAACTGAGATTAAATTTCTACATGCATCAGTGTTGATGCTGTCACTTGCTAACACCCTCTGGAAGAAAAGAGTACTTAGTACATCTTGTTTGCTTTTCTTTTTCACCAAGGCCCTTGCTGCAAAGGAAATTGCAGTCAAATACTGGCCAGCCACAGAGGAATTATCCTGAGCTGCATGACAGAAGGACGCCTCAACCACATCCTTGACACCCTTCGCTCACAGCAAATGCTGTCCCGAACAGATTATGAAACAATAATCTCTTACCCCACAGTGACCAGCCGTGCTCGGGCACTGCTAGATATTTGCCTCTGCCTTGGAGAGAAGGCAGCAAAGGTTGTAGTGACAGTTCTAACAGTGAACAAACGCAGTCCTCTGGCACGAGGCAGTCGTTGCATAGGCTGTCCTGAGACAAACAGGCTGCTGCTGTGACATAATTTTGAGGTTTGCTACATGGATCAGAGCATTGGTAATTTGGAGTGGCAGTGATTCACATTCACTCCTCATAAACCATTGAAATCCGTTCTTCTTCTGGCCAATGATTGCAATCCACTTACGGAAAAATAAAAAACCTACCTGGATGAAAAGATCACATCAACCCATTGCCTGCAGAAATTGCCAAGACTGGTATAACAAATTCTGATTAAGTCAAATGTCACCAAATTTCCTTGATTTTGGAAGTCAGAAAAATGGACTGTGAGATTTTGGAGATCACACTACGGAAGAACAACAGTTATTAAGGACAGTGTACTGTATGAGGAGAAAAAAGATACTGCCTTTCACCAAACTCAGTACTGAACAAGCTGTCACAGTGAGAGACTTCAGAGAATTAAGAAACATTTATTAATTCTTAATATGAGTCTTGGAAATTTTACATTATGCACATGAATTATTTTTATCCGCAAATGGTCGTGTTATGAAAATATGGTGCTGATAACAGCATTTTGGAGAGGTGGGCTTAAAGTATTGGTAAAAAGAAAAGCTCTGCTACCTTACATTCATGTTGTTCTCTGAGTGTGTCTGCAGTTCAAATGTAAAATTAAAGGATGAAGAGGACGTGCCAAGCTGATCATTTTTGAAATGATGGTTCTGCAGAACTGTAAAGGCAAGAGTATCAACATTGTAATGAAAATGAGATTATAAAAGTGCTGTTTTTTGAGTGGATTCCTTCAAGCTGCAAGGCACTTGATTAACATGAGCAAACTTGTTCTATTTCAGGTACTGAACTATGCCATTCCATTTCTCTGCATTGCATTTGTTCTCTGCAGTTTCAAACTGCCCATCCAGTTCAGTAGTTTGACAGACTGTAAAACTGAATAACAATGTGTTTTCTAGGCACAGGTGATAAAATAGATTTATTTTGTGTACTACAGCACTACTGGAACTGTAAACTTTAGCTATAAAATATTTTTATATACATTCATTAAACTTTAAGATTTTCTTGAAAAAATCTTCTAATTAGAGGAAAGCAGAAAACCATTCATTTGTAGGAATTATTTATAGACTTTTAAGAGGGAAGCTAGCAATATTACTGAAGCCTAATTATCAATTTTTGGTAATTATTCCATTTGGTTCTTCTGCAAGACATGTGTATCACTCTGACAGATGTGCCAGCTGGTGGACTATGTTAATTTGTGCCTTTTTTTTGTTTGTTTGTTTAATTTATGTAGGAACAGTTTTGTATCTCGCTCTTCTTGAAATAGCTTTTTATTTGAGAATTTCAGTTGAAGCCAAACAATACCAGTTTTTTTTTTTACAAGTGTCATGAAATAGGTGGGAGCAGAAGTTACCTGGTTTTGGATGGATTTTATTCTCATATTTGGCTTTCCAGTTTAAGTATAGAGGATGTCAGAGTTACTGATCCATTGCCATTGTGTTTATCCAGATTTTTGTCAAGATAATCCTAGTAAATAATTTGTAACCAATTACAGAACTAAGGAAAATCTATTAATTCATGTTCAAATGAGCCCAAATGGAATTCTTTAAGCATGTTGATTTTTTTTGTCATGTATTCAACTAAAATCACTGCATGAGTTTTAGATTTTGCATGGGTACCTTGTCTGAAAGCACAGGCATGAACCAGCAATGCCACTGCCCAAATCTTTAAGCTAATGCAGACTTATGCCATAAAAGAGGTGCATGCATACAGTTCCTCACACCTCTCTCTTGTGTGATATAACTGCTTTGGGTAGGTTTGACATTTGCAGCAGTTGAGAATCCTCGTTTTTTAGTTAAGTGTAGTATTTTGGGGGGATGCTTTTAACTCACTGAAATAAAACTGCAGTGATATTGATATAGTAAGCTTTGTTAGAGAACCGGGATACTGTGGCCTGAAATTTGCATCCCTTCCCTTTTTCTCCCCCCCAAAATATACATACTCTTAAAAGGCCTGCAACAAATTGGCAAGATAATAAAGACATCAGTGCATATACATTAATTACTGATGTGAAATATCAGATTTCATAAAAATCGTGGTATCTTTTTATGCTTGTACTCAACCATGTTAATTACAAAAGATTTCTACTGTCCATATCATCGTGACCAAGAATCAGGGCCTGCTGTTCAAGACACATCTCTTGTTGCTTTTCAGAGGTCATGAGCATTTGGGACAGT